TCAAACTAGAAGATATATACAACCCATATTGATCTGTCTACCTACTCTAATGGAGTGGACAAAATACTAGTAACACACAAAACAATTTAACCTCACAACTAGCCCCTCCAAAAACAACACAATGTCAATGAGCACTTCCCTATGTTAAGCTAATTTAGAGATAGTGGAAACACTGAGTGGTCCTGTTTAATAATAACAAGTTCAATCTTTACAATCTGGCAAGTTCTCATAACCTCGTAACATTACCAGCATTGTTCTCTGTTTTACTGTGTAATTATAGACCTTTTGCAAAGACATTACTTGTTTTAGTAGGTGTGACAAAGTTTTCATTACTAGGCTACTGTTAACCATGTCCTTGTCACATTTAAGTGTCAACAAGCCTTGTCAGTGTAGTTTTCCTGCTATAGCTAGTCAAATTCTCTACTGGGATTTTTTTTTTTAATATTATAACTAATGCAAATGAAGCCATCATTATTGTTATTTATTTACCATGTGCTATATCCTGAAGAATTTCCAAAAATCCAAAAATCCTTTGACTTTCACTGATCAGAAGGATGCATGCTAAATTCGAAACCAAAGCCTTTTTTCATATTCATCTGCTAAAGGGGAAATGTTTTCTGTCCTTACTCAAATCTGAAGTTAGGACATGGTACTTTGTTTTTGTGACATCAGGACTAGTTTTGAAATCACTCAAGTCGTGTGATGTGAAAACCTAAAAACCTCAAGTGAATAGGCCGAGAACAGGCCTTTCACTAAAGAAGCCTTCTTGTATCAATTGAAACGTTTCAAAATAAAAATACTTGTATATCGGAAAAATCTTTTAATGACCGAAAAGCACTAGAAATACTTTGTAAAGTCTTTGTGTTTTATTTGAAAAGGTTTTTAAAAAATGATTTGGTCAAATTCAGTCAAATTATCATTCAAAGCAGACTAAGAAAATATGTCCAAAACATGTCTGAAAAAGGGATCATTATTGGAAAGTTGGAAAAACTGGAGGCTTTTTTCTATATATTTGTTCTATCATAAGGAGCGGGTGGATCAATTCTTAAAGTATTGATAGCCTACTAAATCTTATAGTACCGAAATTAGAACCAAGAGGGTATACAATTTCCCATCTCATGCAAGATCACATTATGGGATCACAAACACACCTCTGCTATTGTTGTATTCACCTCTTTTGTAAAATAAAAAGAATCCTTATGTTTCACAAAGGATTTTAACTGGTACAAGTAGCCAGCATCAGCCTAATAATAATAAGTTAACCTTATAAATCACGACACATAGCTTCTGTTAACATTATAGAATAACCAATAGTTGTATTGATAGTGATTATAAACATGCAAAACCACATGTTGAGGTATTGACCAATGACCACACCTAATTATCATTTCATAATAACATTAGGTTAATTGTGGGACATATCTCACTGGTAAACTCTGCAAAGTAGCCGCATTTATCATGTAAACCAGATAACGGTGCACCCCAAACCCTTCCTGAAAGTCAGAGTCAGTAGAGTTTGGGACTTGATTCACGGTTCTCTGGATTTATAGCGGAGTGAGCGCTCTTCATTCTCCCCTCGTCTCGGACCTCTCGATCTCAATTCTCAGTCAATGAAACAGAACGTCCTCTCTGGCAGTTGCCATGAGAACGGAGAAACGATCCCGGCGCATTCCCTGTTGTCACCCCTGCGGTTCCCAGGCAACAGCTACACAAATCCCGGAAAACATCCGGAAAGACCCTCGGTCGTCCTTCAGGTCGCCAGAACTTGGAATATTTACAAGGACTTGTTTACTCATCGGTATTCCTGGACAATATATTTGCAATAAAACAAACATGACGACTTCTTCCCTTGGTGCGTTAGATCCCGGCGACCCTCGTCTAAAACTGAGGGTGGAAAACAGAATACAAAATATTTTTGTAACACAATCGGAGGACAACAGGTAGGCCTGTGCTTTCATTATAGGGCCACAATGAGCAGTCAACTCCCTTTTCTCAACAACACATTTATAAATGTTTGGATTGAATGGTGTTGTCACTGAACATTTTCTCCTCAGGAACCAAAAGGAGGAAAATGTTAACCACATACCTGTTGTGACAGAGGTAAGATTTTCATAATAACAAAATTATATAATGTGATTATTAAGATATTTTAGTAAGACTTTTAGTGTTTTGCTTAGACTTCAGGCAGAGTCCTCGAGGCAGGGGTGAACACTTTACAAAAGACCCTGGTTCTGAAGAAACAGGCTGCGTTGGACGTGGTGGATCAGCAACTTGCAGTAAAACGGGCAGAGTTTAAGAGCCGTGTGGAGGGTCTAGCTCAGAGAAGGTCTGAACTGGAATTAAAACTACAGCAGGTAATTTGAAACCCCCTAAAAGTAAATAAAAGCATGAATGAACCACTGGATATCTGCTGATGGCATTTGCCTAATATTACGCATGCCCCTGGGGTTTGTTTTTCCACCCAGACTCAAGAGAGGGCTATCAAGTTTGAAAAGTTTGTGGCTGAAAATGAAGCGAAGCGACGCCGAGCACAGAAGAAGTACGAGGCCGCACGGGAGCTGAACATTTCCAAACAGAGAGAGATAGAAGCTCACACAGAACAGTTGAAACAACTTAAAGCGAGGTGAAAATCTTCAAAACCAAGTCTTAATGTAAAGATATTGCTCATTTAGACACCCTATACCTCAGTTATACCATATCTCCATTCACAGACATCACGTTTTAAAGGAGAGAATGGCAAAATATAAAATCTTTGAGGACTACTTGATGAAAACGCTAGATTTTCTCCCCAGTAGTAAGTTAAACTGACTTGAACTAGCCTCCATAAGCAACTTTTACATTAACCTGTACTGTTTATTCTACGCAAAGGTTGTAAGATGGAACAAACTGCATATCTCTTTCAGCTTACCTCGATAATGGGTCTGAATCTTTGGTGATGCCCATCATTCGGCGCCATGAGACCCTGTCCATCACCCACCGGGACCTACTACAGCGTTGGGGACATCTGGAGGAGGAGGTGGAGCAGGGCCAGCGACAACTGCAGATCATGAAGCAGGAGCACAGTATTAAAAAATTGGTCAGACACACAGAAAATGACAGCAACTTTTCATAAATGTACAGTGTTTGTGAATTAAAAACCTATTTAGAATGTTAACATGTGTTGCAGATGGCCAATAAGGAACTTTCTGAGCTCCAGAATGAGTTAGAAACCCTCAAAGAGAAGAACGAGCAGGCAGAGGTTAACCTGCTGATGGAGCAAGGCCTGTCCAGAGAGAAGGTACGCTTTTATGATGCGAGATGGAAATTACCGGTGGAAATGATTTTCAGATAGGACTTTTTGGATATAAATGGTGTCAAATGTGTCATTATCACTCAGGTTAAGGAAGTAGGCTGCTTGCTTATGGCCATCAACAACCTGGCCGACCTGTGTTATATAGCAACATATGGACCTCTGGAAAACATGAACATACTGACAAAGATGGACATGGTGAAGGTATGTTGGTTATTACCGGTACTCATACAGTTATTCATGTTCCTTTCCTTACCTTTTAACTTATGAAGAGTATGATTTCAGGAGTACATCCAGGACAAGGCAGACACAGAGAGGAGAGCGAGGAGACTGATGGAGTCGGGGTCTGCCATCACAAGTAGAACAGCTCTGACAGACAAAAGGGAGAAGGGATCAATCAAAAGTATGGGCAGTAAAACACAAATAAAAAATTCAAGTAAAGTCAGTAGAAAGAGTGAGACAATGAGTTGATGTAGAATGTTTACAATTTACCATGGTGTCACTGCTTGGAGTGTAACAACCAATGACCAGGATGAAGAATGTAAGGGCTGCAGAAAAGTTTGACAAATAAACAAATCTATAAGTCAATGGACTCTTATGGCATCATTTTCAGTACAAATAAACAACGGTAATGTTTGTGATGCACTCAACTTTGCACTTCAAATGTAAACATATTTTTGAAAATGAGGTGATCAAGTTTATTCAAGCATCAGAACTTTGTAAATGTGTATCTATGGAACATTGCGATAGTTGCATTTTGAAAAAAAATGTTTACAATCAAATGAAGCTGTCAGACCAGAAATCAACACCCATCATAATGGCATATACATTGGTATGTATTTCTAACATATATAGATTATACAAACAACAATGAGAAAAAAAGTATTTTCAATGATGTATGATAAGATTTTTTGTGATACAAAGTTTGTGTTTGAATTAGCTGGTATTTTCACAACTAACTCTTGATTGTGGCCTCCTCCATGTTGTCAAACACTGCTACACAGGTTTTCTTACAGCCTTCTGGTGCAGACGTCAATTATGTTGCAATGCTACTCCTCTGGGCAGTGCAGTTAAATAGCAAAACATGTTCAGACACATGCAGCTTTTTTCAGGCGTTTATGTTGTCAGTGCTTCTCTTTTCCTAAGGAGTGGACTACATAGTAAACTGGGTTGTCGGGCTATTAGTAGGCCTACATGTATTTATTTTTAAATACTTGTAATTAATGTAAGTTTTGTGTTTGTATGTTACTTCCCACTTTTACTTTCCTACATTTCAGGAGAAAATATTAAAGTAAGTGCATAATGTAAGAGCCTCAGTTTCACTAAATGTCATTTTGAGTTTCAAAACATAACAAATATGTTGCATTAGCCCAAAGTAGTGGAAATCAGCCCCAGCTTGCCCCCCAAAAAAACCTATAAAAAATTTGAGAATAATTTGCTTATCATATTTGCTGTACTTTAATGCAATAAACATTTTGACAGAAGCTTTACACTCAAGTATTGCTTTCAAAACTGTCGATCACTCTAGTTAAGCTAATAAGCTAATGTGGTCTGTCGCATATTGAGCCATAAACATGTTTCACTGGTTATTATTTTTTTGGTTAGTGTTTTGCTTTACGACTCTTTCGGTTACAAAACGTCCCGTACCAAAGGCATGACGCCAGCATTAAACAGCCGTGTACTGTCCCTTTAACAGGAACACGTGGTACCTGCAAACATCCGGTTATTCAGAAAATGGAAATAAGATTGCAACAATGTTTTGACACGCAGTTTTGAAGCACGGATTCTTGCTTAACTGTAATTACGTTTTCTTACCGTGTTTCCATTTTGTTGTAATCCGAAGGTCTGTCGTGCGGGCCCGGAAACAGTTTGGTCCGAAAATAGTAAAGCTGTTTGTTTCTCGACAGATGGAGGCAGGCAGCCTTGTCTCATACCGAGAGGACATTTCTACGCTGTTCCCCGAGCACACGCCGGGTGCGAAATATAAAGTACGACATTTATTTGGGGTGGGGTCGTTTACTGTATGTGGTCATGGTCTCCCTTCCTAAATCAAATTGTCCGCCCCATATTAATCCCACCTATTGTCCTTTGTTAGGATTTAAGCAGCCAGTTCCACACCGTCAGACAAGTGCGCGGAGATGGAAACTGCTTCTACAGAGCCCTCTTCTTCTCATACTTGGAGTCAGTCTTACACAATCCCAGGGCTCTGCAGAGGTCAGTTATCATTTTTGACATTCAAATAAACTGAACTCACTGTTTATTCAACGAGGCCTTGTTTTACTTTGCAGATTTAGGGAGAAAATCCTTCAAACGTGTGAAGACTTCTCTACTGCGGGATTTGATGAGAGTTCCTTCAAGCACCACCTGAATACAGTAAATTATTATATATATTTCCTTTCACGTTCTGTTTACTTACCAGGTAGCCTTAGGTGAGTAAAGCACTAATTCTTATAAGCCTGGAAAATAAAATCAACATTCATTAAATTGCTATGACGTAAGAACACTAGGGGGAATTCATTATTTGAAAATAGTTCAAATAAAAAAATGTTCAAGCAATAAAACAAGGTTAGGCAGATGACTGATTATTAGTTTTGGCCTTTGGTTAGGCCACAACAGTGATACAACAAAGGTAGTGTTGGACATAATGCATGCTAAATGCACAGAATGGGAATCCTGGGACAAGACGGGTATAATACTCAAGATAAGAGAGAATGATTTTGTGGTATGAATCTCTGAAGTCTGATACTTGGATCAGCTGCCGAGCTAAATTTAATTCACAAGCTTTCCACATAAAGTAGGTAATTACTGCAATTCAAAACCAATTGGACTTGGTGAATTTACAGTTTCCTGGCAATTATCCATTATTTGGAACGGATAAATCTCTTTTATCCACAGGGAATGAAAATGTAGAGTATTCATGGAAGAACACTTTTTTGACAATGTTAGTAATTGTTTGTTTTCTTGAAGGTTGTTACTGTTCTGGAGCAGTGTCAGGCTGATGAGCAGGAAGACACGCTGCTCAGGCTCTTCAATGAGCAGAGGACATCTGACAGTGTGGTGCAATATCTCAGGCTGCTCACCTCAGCACACCTTCAAAACCAGGCAGAGTTCTTCTGCCACTTTGTGGAGGCGCCCAATCTACTAGTCTACTGTCATCAGGTTAGTTCAAACTGTTGCTGCCATCTAGTGAAAAGAAGAGTTGATAGTTAAAGTGTTTTAACAGAAGATAAGTCTAGGAAATATAACTGTCAGATTTGGTAATGTCTCCGCTCTTTTTTCAGGAAGTGGAGGCCATGGCGATGGAGTGCGATCATGTGGATATCTTAGCTCTGTCACAGGCTCTGGATATTTGCATCCACATCGTCTCCATGGAAGGGGATGAGCAGCAGCTGGCTCACCACGTCATTCCAGAGGGTGCCGAACCCTCCCTGCACCTCCTCTACCAGACGTCACATTATAACATTCTCTACCCGCGACTTCAACACTGACCAGAGATCCACCAGGACTCAGCTTAACTCAGGAATATTGACTTTGGTTCAATAAAATCCCAACTGGGCTTAAGGACACTTGAGAAAACAGATTTTTATATAGTCTTGCAGTGTACAGCGATTTAACATTTAGAAATACATGTTTTTTTGCACATTGTGCAATAAGTATTTAAAGTTACAATCTCGAAGATCTGTGCTCTTTTTGGCAGCATTTATGCTGATAAACTCTATTTTCACTTTATTTTCACTTCCCAAATGCAAGAGCTTACATTAGTGGGTCCAAGGCTTTACCACCATTGTGTTATCTCCTTCACTGCGATAGTGTTACACAACATTCATTTTAAATGAAAATCTTCGAAATTATGACTTTAAATGAATTGAAATGTATTTATGTAAACAAATACATAAATCTTCTCTTAATACACATTCCATTAACACGTCACTGCTGCTGCTGCTTTTCTTTCTTCTGCTTTTTCTGCTGTTGTGGACCACGTTTCTTTAACTTCTGTTTTTCCTCCTGCTCTGTAACCGTGGTAAGGGCACTTTCCTTTCCACCTCGATGCATGTTAGCCAGTGAGAGCCTTCCCATTTGAGTGGGGTACTTGGTCATGATCTCCCTTTTGAACACAGGCTTGGAGATCAGATATTTCAAATGCTTTTTCATCCCCTTCACCAACTTCTGCTGCTCTCTGTCACCCTCATCATCCTTTGCTCCACCTGCAGACAAAGATGGCATATTCAGTTGTCTGTATTTGAAAATGTTTTAATAAAGGGAACCTGTTACAATAGATGTGGTGTTGTGTTGGTCTTACCAATTAAAAGGTCATCATCCAGGTCGACCTCCAGAGCCTCTGCAGCTTGTCTGAACCAGGAGTTGTGATGCTTCTCCCGGCTGTTGTGGAACTCAATCTTCTCTACCCGTCTGGCCAAGTTTACCCGCTCCTGTGGAGGAATGCACTCAACAGTTTAGGATCAAATGTAATCTTTTAAATATCCCGTAAAGTAATGACCTTAAGCTGGGTCTTACCTTGATGGCTTCCATGCATTTGCTCTCAATGGGGAACATGGGAAGATCCTCGTCCTTCCCAAGAGCCTTGTAGATCTTTTTGAAGTTCATCATGTCGTCTGGGCCTATAAGCAGCATACTCAGACCCTCTTTGGCGGCTCTCGCTGTTCTCCCACTCCGATGGACGTAAGTCTCAGATGTCCTGGGAACCTGATGTTTACAGGAGAACATTAAAATATAGCTTTTTGCATAGAAAATATTGCAGTGAACAGAGTTATGCAGCTGTATTCGTTAAAATCAAATATCTGGCAATGTAATACCAATGCTCACAACTGGAACCAAAATTCAGCTCGATTGTAAAGCATCTCCTGCATATGTTTCATTTAACCAGTGTTTATTTTTACAGTTTTTTTATATATCAAAATTCATGCGAGTTAAAAATAAATATACACAATGGACCACAATTACAAAAGCTTGCCTGGTAGTGAATAACATGCTCAACATTGGGGATGTCCAGCCCTCGAGCTGCAACATCAGTAGTCAGCAAGACACAACTGGGAATGAAAAGTTAAAATGTTATTGTTGATTCAGTAACCAATGAATAAATGGTAAATCTTTGAGTTGATTTAATGCAATGTATTTCATACTTAGGAATAAAGGTGAATATAACTTTCTAAGACAGTCTTATTACAAGAAATGTGAAAAATTTAAGTAACACAATGGATATTCTTAAAGTAGGTATTTACTTTCACGCATACCATATAAAACCCTTAAGCCCTTGCAGTGCACAGGTGTTATATTTCATCATAGGAACACAATTGAACCTAAGCTGAGCTAAATATCGTCATACAGCTACTTCAAGTGTGTGCAAACCTACCTCTCCCTCTCAGCAAACCTCTCCAGGTTTTTGAGGCGTTGTTTCTGGTGCATGTTGGCATGCAGAGGCAGTGGAGTACAGTCCAGGATGACCAGCAGGCAGTTCAGTCTCTTGATACAGTCTATACTGTTGGCAAACACCATGGTGCGGCCAGGATACTGGAGCAAAAAGTAATAAAGGAAGAAGTCCTTTTCTTCTTTTTGACAGTGGATTCGGGTCTCAGTCAGGGACTCCACAGTTGCCTCCTTCCTGGTCAAGTCAACGATTTTTGGTTTGGACTTGATTCCCACTTTCTCCATGAGAATTTCCAGCTGGTTCCTCTGGTCCAGATTCTTCCTCTTCTTCTTCTGCAGGAGGCGGATGGGCACGCTGCGAGCCATGGTCAGTGTAGCAGAGAACACAAAGGTTTGCCTCTTGGGATTAAAGTGCACGGTGTTGAGCATCTCCAGAATACTCTCCAGCTCAGCAAAGTGGCCTCTCTCCACCATGCGATCGGCTTCATCAATTACCAGGCACCTGTCGGAAAAAAACACAACCAGCAGTAGTAAGTAAAAAAGGTGGCATGAAAATTGATAAAAGCCAATATGGTCCCTTTTGACCTGCCTATAAGAAACAAGGCAAACTCCATATTTTTTTTTCCATTAAGAAGTGGTTATGGTCTGACATCTAACACTAAGAAACCAAACTTATTACACTGTTAATTATAAACTAAAGAATTAATAAGAACAAAAGGCTGGATGACAATTGCAGTCGATTGCCTTTAAATGGCTTAATATAGAGATGACATGATAACAATGAGGGTTTTACAAAACTCAGTCATCCAAATGATTGACTCTAAGTATATGTAATTTATTAAAAATAATATGATGTCCTGAATGGCATCAAGCTTTAGAAAATGTAAATATATGGTAAACATTAGTATAGCAACATTACATTTATTAGATATCATATTGCCATACAGAGTGAATTGTGACCTACTTGAGCTGTCTTAAATTCACCAGATGTGGATGGCGCTCCTGGATCAAGTCCCACAGACGTCCTGGAGTAGCGATTACGATCTCTGGTCTTCGTTTCAGCACCCTCCTCTGTTTCTCTTGTGCCATTCCACCCACCACTATCGCTGTCTTGATGTCTACACAAAAGTAACATCTTTAGGATCTTGACAATCAATAATTGTACTTTCTAATTATTCAAAAAATGAATGGTAATCATAAGACTCACCTGTAAATTTCGTAATAGCATCAAAATGGTGCTTGACCTGAACTGCCAGCTCTCTGGTGGGAGTGAGCACCAGTCCAAGCAGAGGCTGCCGCCGACCGGCTGCAGCTTCTTCTTTTTCTTCAACGGTGTGTTCAAAACCAAACGTTGCATTTTCAATTACCTGAACACACCCAATCCTATTATCACCATCTGTTTCTTCAATGTCCTCCTGTTCTTCTTTGCAGTTGTGTTCATCTGCGTCACCTTGATCCTCCTCTTTGATGCTTTCATCCTCTTCTCCCTCAGCCTCCATGTCATCCTCCTTGTCTTCTTCTATTGTAGACTCTTCTACATCTGGTAAATACAAACTCTTCACATTTGTGGTTGGTTCGGGGCTATCATCAACAGGCTTTTCTGAACCGCTCTTCCACTGTAGGATGGCGTGGATCATGGGGATACCAAAAGCCAACGTCTTTCCACTTCCTGTAATGACAGTGCTCACATTAGCTTCACTTTGGAAACATGACGACAGATGGTTTAGTGGTGTAAATCACAACAGGTATCAATTATTTGGACACAATAGGACATGTGCTTGCATCACAATGTCTGCCATGTATATTAACTAACAATAAGCTATTAAAAAATAGTTTTAGAACAGGGCTATAATACACATTTAAATGAAAAACAATAAAAAGAAATCATTGGATCATTGAATCGATAGATCATTCCCGATCAATGAATTGTGACACCATTATGGTAAAAAACAAAAACTAAATGGTATTTATCGTACCTGTCTCAGCTGCTCCCAGTATATCCATACGGTCCCTGATGGCTGGAGGCAGAGTCAGGGCCTGTATGGGGCTCGGTGAGCTAAATCCAAGACTGCTCAGTGCCTTCAGCACAGGGGAGGGGACGAACAGGTCATTCCAAGCACTCACGTCAACATTTTGGTCACCAGAACCACAACGGGCTGCATTTGTCCAATTATTTATCTGCTTTTTGCTTTTGGGGGGCTTTGGTGCTTCATCTTGGGTGGATTTTCCAGGTTTTTCTTTTTTCAAAGCCTGAGGTTCAGATGGAGACTCCTGCTTTGGCTGAGCCTCTGGGGTTTTCTCTTCCTCCATCTGCTGCTCCTTTTTCTTGTTCTTCTTTTTGTTCTTCTTTGTGGGTTTTGAGGGTGCATCGGGTTCTGGAGCAGTTGCTATATCCGTGGAAGCTTCTTCTTTAGGCCTCTTTTCTTCCCCTTCCTCCTCACCTGCAGCTACATCCTTCTGAGTCACTTCCTCAGAGGTGTCATCTGGTTTTTCTGATTCCTTTGCTTTCTTATTTTTATTCTTCTTGGCTTTTTTCTTAGCTGGTTCAGCTGCTTTCTCCCCCTCGTTGCTCTCGGCATCCACTTTCTCGGCATCCACTTTCTCGGCATCCACTGTCTCAGCATCCACTTTCTCAGCAGCATCCACTTTCTCAGCAGCATCCACTTTCTCAGCAGCCCCCTCTCCAACGCTGGCTTTTCTTTTCTCGCTTCTCGCTTTCTTCCTATTCTTCTGCTTTAACTTTTCCCTTTCTGCTTTGGCTTCAGCCTTCTCAGTGTCTATCAGACGGTAATTTGTGAGCTCTTCAAAACACACCAGACCCTCCAAGCCCTCCTCGGAGAAGATACTGGGGTCGAGCTCTATAGCTTTCCAATTGCCTTTCACTTGGATGCCTCGTTTAGATGGCCTCCGCACTCCGAAGGACATGCGCTTGTTTCCGGGCTTCATCTTCTGTATCTTCATCTTTCTATAAATAATTAGAGTTACAAAACTATGTTAAACTGCCTCCCTCAGACTGAGCGGTTAAAAGCGTATGTCTGAAGTGAGCTAACAGCTAGGTGCCGAGCAACTCCAACTATATATGAAATGCTCGCAAAAATATCAGACCCAACTGACTTGGCATAACCCAAACAACAAACGCAACAACTAAATATTCGTACAATAATAAAAAAAAACTACTACCTTGATGACTCTGGCAACTTCTTAATGCCAAAATATGTTCACGAATGTTTACAACCACGCATTACACGAGGGCGCAGCCATGACAGTCTTGATCACGTGGTTTGAAAAAACTTTATTGGTCGAAAAAAAGACAACAAAGATTTCTTTGCAACAGTGACGGTCGTCTTGGTGTGTGGTGCGAGACGGGAGATGTAGTTCATTGAGCGGTTTCACACAAAAAAAGTGTTACTTCACAGTTTTACGACACATTTTTATTTTTTTGACTTGCAAAATTATCTTTTAAATTGACAAACATCATATGTGTAATTCGTGGCACAATTCAAACGGGATCGAAAGATAATCTTTCTCTCTCCATTGACTTCAATGCATAACTTTTCCGAAATACTAGGCTTGTTTGAGACAAGCGAGACCTGCGCAATTGCGATCAACGTCTTGCTAGTGCGTTGCATGATGGTTAGTCATTTTGTCCGACTTGCTCTGGAGGCTCGCCTACATGAGACGTTGAAATCTCGCGGGACGCCCGCAGACTTGAGAGCGAGGCGCGGCGAGGCGGCGCAGTTTCTCTCCACGGGCTGCGGAAGCGAAATGCTTGATGGGAAACGACTTGCTGGTATCTCGAGCTGAGCGCTCATTGGTGGGTTTTACCCCGTGCTGGTGATGAAACTCTCCATTGGCTCGGCAAAAGTGTGTTGTTGTTTTGTGTCCGTTTTACGTCGCCACTTCCATTCACATTTTTCATCATTGTTCCACAATGTTTATCATCATTAAATTAATATCTATATATTTGTATACTATACTTGCACTGCTTACCGTTGTCATACTTTATATATCTTAGCATATTCATACAACACACTGTTAATACTAGGCTAGGCTACTGTGTATAAAGTGTATTCATACCCCTCACTGTTTATCCATCATTCAATTTATTCTATATTTTATTCTGTAGATTGTGTACATTACTTTTCACTTTACTGCTTTATGCACTCCTGGTTAGAAGCTAAACTGCATTTCGTTGTCTCAGTACCTGTAATCTGTGCAATAACAATAAAGTTGAATCTAATCTTGAGCAGGAACAAATGTATTTACTTAGTACATATCTGACATTAACGATTAAACACATTTGTCCATTCTTTATCAATCAATGTTTATTTATATAGCCCAATGTCACAAATGTTACATTTGTCTCAGTGGACTTCACAGTTTGTACAGAATATCAGTATGACAATACGACACCCTCTGTCCTTACGTTTCACATCATACAAGGAAAAACTTCCAGAGAAAAACCCACAGTTTAAAGGGGAAATGGGAGAAACCTCAGGGAGAGCAACAGAGGAGGGATCCCTCTCCCAGGACGGACAGACGTGCAATAGATGCCGTGTGCATTTATAAATGCAAACCGAGTCAAGCCGACTCCGGAGGTGGCGGTATGCACCTTAAAGTTGTTTGAAATCCGCCAAAAAACCGAGAGAAGAAGAAGAAGAAGAAGAAGAAGAAGCCGACTCCGAGCTGTCCGACTTCAGGCGAGCTTTTTGAGACCTCCCCCGGCTGCGATCGGCTATTCTCGTCTACTTTCGAGGCGAGCCGCAGCTCGTCTCAAACAAGCCTAAGGTCTCATGGAGCTCAACCGGAAAGGGAGGGACTTCGCCTCTCCCATGGGTCGGAAGTAGATGGGCGGGACTTCGCCTCTCTATCACAGTTTAGAAGTACCAGATTGCAGGCATACTCTGTTCTAAAAGTCCTGCATTCAAAATGTTACTCAAATACAAATATATATATTAGGATCAAAATATACTTAAAGTACCAAAAGTAAAAGTACTCATTATGCAGATTGGCCCATTCCAGAATAATACATATTATGTTTTAATTATGGTTACTTCCAACCTCTGCTTATAGCATACTAGGAACAGTTTAATATTTACATTAAAACATACATAAAGGCACCAAAAATAAAACAGCTCATCAGTTATATTTTTATAAACAAGAGCACCTTCTTAATGCCAGGTTATGAAAATAATCTTGCTTGTGAGCCATCAAAAAATGCATTATTATATCCATCATCTTTTCACTTGTTATTAAGCCACAAGGTTGGTGCTGTTTACAGAAATTAAAAAGGTCCTGATGAAGGGGTAGGTCGCTGCTCCTAAACTCTTGAGTTTTCCAAAATCCAAAAGAAAAGCACACTAATGTATTTTATTATTTTTATTAATATGTATCACATTTCAGTTGGCTCACAGACCAGACCAGCATAAGCATTTTTAATTCAAGGCAAAAAAGGCATCAAAACAGTCTTTTAAAACCATTTATAAACACTATGTGCCTGCACTCCAAGACTCAAACCGTCATGACTGCTAGTTTTTGGTAGGGTCAATCACCCTGCCCATAAACAGCAGACAGTTTGTGTCTTCATGGTATATGAAGAAGAAAAATGGTCTGTTTATAGTGAAGGTCCGGGGTAAGGAATATGGAATAATGCCAGAGGTTGTGGCAGCTGCTGCAATGGTGCCTGTCTCGTCCACCTCGATCACAGCCTTGTGCAGCACCTGTGATTTTACAGTAGAGATTAAAAAAAATGTTTCAACTGCAGGTGTTGGAATATGCAAACATTTTCTTACATCATGGAAAACTAACCTCTGACACTTTGAGGCCGTGTTGATTACTCAGCTTTGTCAAATTGGCTGAATTACTGAAAATACTGGACATGCCCATGTCTGGTAAGAGATTGTGCAGGGAATACGACTCCTCCATCTTGAATTTGGGCAAGTTGATTTCAAGTTTGCTGAAAGAAAAAAAAATTACCAGCCAGGTTTAGTGGACTGTTGTTTTATGATACTGTTTATTTGCACTTTTACTTTTTTCAATCTTTTTCTGGAAAAAAATATCACAAAGTCTTTAGCAATGATAGCTGAGATCCAACAGAATACAGATAATAAAATCACCTTACAGGTGTTTCAAACGTTTCCACGTAATGACTTTCTATGCACTTACGTTTTGTACAGCTTTTTGATCCAACTGAGAAACCTCTCAGCAGTGATCCCATCATCAATCACAGTGTAGTCGATGGCTTTGTTTGGGAGAAGAATAAGCATGGAAACACCTTCCAGGTACGGCAGCTTCAGCACTCTGGCACCGAGAGGAGTATCTTCCATTGTATAGAACTTATCCTCTAAAAACATCATCGGCACTTGCACAATATTATAGTTGTCAATGTAGAATGGTGCATTTGTTGTGTAATTGGAATTGAAAGGCTTCTGCCACCCTCCTGTAGAGGAAATTATAGTTATTTAGTTGTGGATACAATAGGTGAAAGACATAACAAAGTAGTGAAAGCACAGCTAATAATGAACCAAGATGTAGATCTTAACTCTTAAGAGATTGTTTCAACTTACCCTGGAAGAAAATTGTGTCAATCAACATGACCTGGGTCAGTGCATCCAGGGAGGAAATCATGTCTGTCACTTTGTTCTGAGTCTTTTGCTTGATATACTCATTGATGAAGTTGATACTCTCCGTTGTGTCAGCAAAGTCTACACTTTTAATATCAGCGTCAAAAAACGTCTTGATTTGGTCTTCAAATGCCTTCTCCACCACAAACTGCTGGCGCGTAAAGAGAGCCATGCCTTGGTCGAGTTTCAGGGATCCATTCTGTGTGATGTTCTCATGGAGGAGTTTGAAGAGTGTTGGGATAAGCTGAGGCTGGTCAGCCCGCTCCAGCTGCTCCAGATTGAGTCCCTTCAGTATTTCTTGGTGTGTAACTCCATCAGAAGCCATCAAGAGAGCAGCAAAGCTGGTGGATATGCTCAAAGGTGAGAAAAATATGTTCTTGTCATGGTAGCTGGATATCTTTCTGTATAGGTTCATGGCAAAGTCCATATTTTTGAAGGAAAGATCCGAGATGGTGGGGCCTGGGATGTGCGCTTGTTGGACAGGAGCGAGGAAGCACATCAAGGTGACAATGAAAATAAGTTCCATTTTCAATTTGTGTACCAACATTGAGAGATTTGGTTGCACAACCTGAAACATGCAGACATGTAATGTCAAAAGATAGTAAAAAAAAGACAACAGGCCTTTCTCACAGCAGACCTTTTGAATTGACTCAGTAGAAAAAGCGTGGGTGTTACAAATAACACTAACGATGGCTCTGTTCTAGGGAGCCAGCATCCATGATGCCAAACCTAAAGTCAAAGCAGCTAAAGAAAAATAATATTTTCATCATCTACACCAGGGGTGTCAAACTCAAGGCCCGGGGGCCAAATCCGGCCCGCCACCTCATTTTATGTGGCCCGCAAGAGCTTGCAAAAAATATAATATACAATACAATTGGTGTAATTGTTGAATATTTGCTTTCAATTATTTGCCCTAGAGTTCTGCTTTCAGACGTACTTATTTAGGAAGATATTACCAGAACTGATAATAATCCAATGCAGGGCCAACAATGTAATATAATACATTATTTAATATATATTATATATTTACATATATTTATATATAATAAAAATTACAACCGGCCCTTTGAGTGCAACCATAATGCTGATGTGGCCCGGGATGAAATTGAGTTTGACACCCCTGATCTACACCTTTGTATTTCCTAGGGACAAGCCAAATTGTCCGCTGTGAAAAGAGCCTATTTGACAATAACACAATACACTAACACAATATCTAACCCATCTACCAGAAATGATAACACATTAGATCTCATCCATCACAATTCTTCCAAATTTAAATTCCCACCTAAAGAAATTGAATGAATTCAGGTTTTAAATGCAATAGATAGCTGGTTTCTAAAATTGTTGTACGTACCATTCAGCTTGTGCAAGTTTACTTCTGATAGCTCCATGTATTATTTGGGGAAACAAAGTGCAAGTGTGCTCTCAGCGTTACATATTAACCTTGACGCATCGCCTGTTGTGTTGTCCAAATGGAGTCAGAGCTCAAATATTCAAGGCCTCTTTTTTCAGGAGTGAAAAGTCCCAAGAATAACCCATCAATAACTGCATGTTGTTGAGTTGGAAAAACAGAGACATGAGAAACTTCAGGAGTGAATGTCACTTTAATCCTGGAACACGACCTAATACATTAAATCAAAGAATGTGCTATGGTAACAAGTGAAATATAACAAAACAGATTTGTAAGAGTACTTATTGTGAGAATGTAGTGAGTAAAAACAATGTAATGATAAAAACCCAACAACCAACAATGCATGCACTTTCGCAAGTGTCATTTAAATAGAAAAAAAGGCCTAAAAGATCCAAAGGAAAACAATAAGGACATCATGGATTTTCCTTGGTTGTCATCCAGTACAAAAAGTAGACTTCGTATGAGATCGTATACTTTTGTGGAGGAACCAAGGTATACCCATGCTGTCATTGGTTCCAGCAAACAAAATAACTGTCAACAAATATTTCTAATGCAGTTATGTGCTCAATCAATCAACATCATTTTGATTAAAATAAAAATCAAGAGATTGTTGTATCAACAGAAATACAACAATCTCTAAAGTAAATACACGGTGACGTTTTGTTCTATCTTTGGGTTTTAAATGATCAAAATATGTCCCTCCCCCTCTCACTATTTTACTGTTATTTCTAAAGGTCATCGATTGAAAAATAGTTAGATTTAACCCATGGCACCTCAGTGCATTATTGGACTAGAGGATAAGTCTAAGCAGTGCTTTTAAAACTAAATTACAGGTGTTAAACTATCAACCACTTGTGAAGGTACATCAAAAAGATTTTCTTTAAATTCCCTAAACAGTTCATGACAAATACTGATGAGGAGAAACGACTGAGGCAGTCCTAAACTAGTTAGACTGGACTGGACGTGTCAAACTTTCTTTCGTTTTTTAGGTGATCATACATGCTGGAAAATGTTACTTTTATTTAGCAGCTGTAGTTTAATGGTGTTAACAGATTGATTTTTTTGTTCCCCGTTACAGGCCAACTTATTCTGGACAAGACGTGAAAAATATGCATCAGTCAAAAGCATCTTAGATCCAGCAAATAGCTCTATAGTTATTTTGTGCACTGTCCATCCTAAATGGAAAAGCTGTGTAATCTTAGATTTCATTATGCCTACTTATACACTTATGGGTAATAACAAAGCCACAACATCAGTTATATGTTGTTGTTGGAATACCTTGGGATACTACTCTTAGACGTTCACAAGTAAAGATTAGGAAGGAACAAAAGACCCACACATGTTAGTGCCGATTGCTAAAATATATTTCACTACTAGAAGTGATTTCAGAGCTAAATTGGTGTTTGGGTGGGGCAGGAGTTGGAAATACATCCTATGTCCTACAACCACAAGTCCAATGTTAAAGTAGGGGTCATTATCTATCAAACATCTTATCGGTGTGTTTGGTTTCCTATTGGCTTTCACCGGACAACCATCTCCATATGTATTCCCCCTAAATAGATAAACACACCGTTTGTATGCTGAAGATTCCTTTTCATCTTTTGTGGGGAAAAAAACAAGAATAAAAAAACAGTGTACAATAGAAATAGAAGGCGCCATGGCAAAAAGGCAAATGCAAACTTGGATTAACTGCATCGTGGGTTCTGTGGTCACCCTTTTCCCAGCGTCAGTGTCTCGCTGAGTTAGATTACACTAACTGCTGCCTTTTCCTCATCGTTGTTCTCTTCTCTATTGCCTGTCAGCGAACTAACCAGGGGAAACGCGTCAGCCTTCTGACTGTCCTTATGTTCGCATGTGCAGAAGGTTAGAGGAAGGAGCAAAGCTTCCCCTGTACGGGGTTGCCAATCCTGGCAGCTGGTAAACAACATAGGCAAACAGTGCACACTTTCACTGGCTGGGCTTTTGTTGTTGGTCTTCTTCAGAGCCAGGGTTCACTGATCCTAGAAGAGGGGAGAGAGCTTAGTTAAGTATATTTCATGAGTTACCTGGATAGGCTTATATTATACAGTTAGTTAACATAAGTCAGATGTCACTACCTGAACCACCTGATGATTTTGGGTCCGGTTGCTGAGGAATGTTGGACTGAGCTTGTTGCTGCTGCCTAAGAAATGAACAGAGAGAATTTTTAGAAACATCCATGAATTCAGTTTACATTAATTTAAGAGGAGAGGACACAATATCATGAATACTTCAATCGGTTCTAACTATAAATTAAATACATGTTATAATGAAGACACAGTTACAACATAAATTATAAAAAGTAGTGTTAATTGCATGACTATTTAATAGAATTCAAGAGTTTATTATTTATTGTGTCGAGCCAAACCTACCGATCAAAATAGGCTTGTCTCCTCTTCCGCAGTTCTTCAGCTGTGAGCGCCTCATTCTGGCCGGCTCTCTGTCCTCCGGTAGAACTCCCTGCTGCCTGGCTTGCCAATTTCATGTTTCCCATTTCAGACTCAGAGGACTTGTTGCTCATCACGGCTCCTATAATATTATTAATAAACAAAGAATACCGTTTTGTTTTAAACTATTTTATTATTGCAAACCTGGAGCACAACTTGTGAAATTAACAATGAAAACGAAAATACTTGTTGATATGATCTTTAGTAGAAGTTTAAATAAAAGTGCAGTGTATCAAGAATTGTAGATGTATTAAATCAACGTTTTTGTTGAAATCCCTAACCTAAATCATATTAAAAACGTTGGATAACCCATAATTTACCTTGCATGCTGAGCTGTATGGCTCTGCGGAGATCAGCTTCTTCATCTTCCACATCTATGTCCTGTCTGCTGAGTGCCAGAGCTTTCTTCAGCTCTTCGTCTTCATCTACAACCTCGTCCTCCACAGCAAAGGTCATATCCGCCTGGCTCTGAGCTGCCGACCTGCTGCTCAGAGCGCAAGTACAGATAAGTTAGATATAGCTTTTAGCAGCTTAATACATAAACGAAGATAATTCTGTTCTGTTTGTACTGTCAGCAAATATAGTACATACCCAGCACTGGTCTGGGCTTCATCCTCTCCGATAAGCTTTGGTCGCTGCTGCTGATGCACCCTCATGATCCCTAAAATCTGCTCTGCTTCACACTCAGGGAGGTTTCCACGGATCACAAATATGGAATAACCTGTCCAAATTCAACTTTAAAATTATTTCTGCACAGAAAAAAAACAACAATCATGGCATTACAAATTTAATTTTACAATACCTTCTAGTTGTAACTGAGCAAGGAAAAGGGCTAGATAGGTGTCTGATATCAACTCTGGTCCAGTCAGCAGTGAATTCAGGTTAAACCACTGCAATGAAAACAAAACGGTGTGTTTTTTTGTGTAAATCAGGCTGTGTCAACATTGGTTATGATGACAATTGCCTCATACCTGTTGTCCTAGTTTGCGTATAGTAAACCAGTGCTCCTTGTAGTTGCAAATGAAGGCCTTCTCATTTCTGAAAAAATGAGCGTAATAGCTGTCACAATCAATGTACACTGTGAAGAAGCTATGAGATTACAGATAAGGAAAATACATAATAAATACTTACATAGGATTGATCATCAGGCTCTGGTACTCCCGGCTGTTGAACAGGATTAGCTCCAAGCCCCAGACTCTCAGTGCATTGCTAATTACCTACGAGGAAATACATAACAGAGCAGGGAAATTACATTACTGATTTATACAGTTATTGATTTGTGAATAAACCACAATTGAGATGAGTGAATCCCTCACTTGAATTGAAAAGAATCCGCTGTCATCCATGTTGCCAGATGGTTGCTAGAAACACATTCATAGAAAATAAATTTGGAACATGTTTCTAAGAGCAGCTGCTGCATTAGCATTCACATCTAATGTCTCCTCACCTGCAAGAAGGTCCTATACTCCTCACTGGCCATACCTCCCTCCGCCATCCTCATCCTCTCCTCTTCATCAAGCTGGTGAGCGATGGAGGACAGATCCACAGGAGTGAAATACTCACCCTGCAGGAGGTTGTTCAGACAGTGTTGGGCGCAAAGAGAGCCCTCTTGCTACAAATAAAGATGATTTATTGATGAGAGACCAGAGCATTATTTTGTTATATAAACTTATAACTAAATAGACACTGAATTAGCTAACGTTAATAGTAACATGTTTTTCATTTGCCTTGTCGCCACGGAAACAGCCTTACAGGCTACATATAGCATACGTAAACTAACATAACTACTCTTAACACTACTTTAAAAGACGATAGCCAATTTAGCCAGTTCGTTTACTAACTGGACAAAAAAAGAACATGCTTGTAGCTATTAGGAAGCGTTTAGCGTCGTTACTCCTAGCTGAAGAGAAACTTTTCATAATCTATGATTAGCAGGTGCAGTTAGCATGTTAGCTGTCTGGACAACAATACTACCAAACATCACCACAAATCTCTCAACACCGGCCAGATAGGTCCGGGTTACGAACCGCCGCTAGAAGGCACAAAGCTTTCCAAATAAACGAGACGAATTATTCGTGGTTAAATGTTTTAACTTACTTTCTCATGAAATATGGAATCCATATTTAGCTTTCTGTCAAACATTCAACTCTGACCTCAAGATCATTCATAATCACGGAGAGAAGGGACAATCTCGACCAGCGCCTTCTAGTGGCCTGGTTCCCGTCTACATTCAAATCTCCGCGGATTTTGTTTAAAATAGAGCAATGTAAATACGATTCATTATGAAGCCTTATGGACTAATTTCTCTGTTAAATACATTTTTGTCAATGATATATCAAAATTTGACCAAAAAACATTATAGAATGGACTCACTATATTTGTCAAATCACGCATGGAGAACTGTTACCACCAGATGGCGCTGCGAGGTCTAGCAGGATTTTTTGTTTACAAAATGTTTTTCTTTTTACCAGAGGCACATATAAATGAAAGGGCAGTTTTCCCAAACAAGTGCCATATTTGATTATCGCAGTTATTTACAAGTCAATACCTACATCGTAATCGTTCTGACTATTGTGATTATTGTTGAATAACGTCGCAAAAAAGGTTACGATTACAAGTGGAAGAGTCTCCTAGTGACGCCACCTCCTTTACGGCAAATGGAATATGGCGGAGGGTGAGAAATCCCTAGACGGACTGGAGCTCAGCAAGGTATGAAATTAAAATAGCTAATATAGCTGTCAGTGGTTACTGAGACTCAGGGGCAACACACTGAGGTATAATGTGCTAGTTTCTCTGTACAAAATACTTTGACCGTGCATTTAAAGGCCATTTAATTGCGTGGTTAGCATTCGTAGGTAGCTACTGTGCTAGCTACCTAAAATGGTAAAAATGTCTGCAGAGGCTGCAGTATTTACTGCTCACCAACAGCCCGTGTTAGTTATTGTTTTTATGGGTCGATATGTGCTATATAGTACACAATACTGAGAGTGAAAATATGGCAGTGTTATCCGTAAATAAGTGTGTTAATCTCCATCCTGTGGTATTTTGGTGGGCGCATTGTGGCTACAGCGCTACAAACGAGTTTTCATGAGTTAATATATTTTAAACACCATTGCCTCGACTGTTTTACAAACCCAAACTCTTGCAACCTTTTATAAAATCTTATTCAATGCGTTTATTTTTGCAATGTGACAGTAAAACTGGCCTTTTTGGATCTGATTTTATTAAGTCAGATTGTAGCAGTTCGACACTTGGCTAAGTTGAGTTGATGGAGTAGGCTACAGCAATCATTACACCAAAATGACAGGCATGGTTTGTGGCAGATACACATGGCAGGACCAACGATATAAAATATAAAAATTACTTTAACTGCAACTCGAACCTCAACGTTCAGGGTGCAGTAATGTGCACAGCAATTACCTGCCAACAGGATGGCTTTGAAATTTGAAAAATAAGAATTGGAGCAATACATGTTGTGTTATATTAAGGTAACTGTATCCAGTCCTAAATCATGTTCAGCTGTGAGTACTGTATACTCTTTATATCCTATTAAACTACTAGATGTTTTAAGCTTATACTTACCTAAAAAGTATGTTAAATGTCTACTGGTTTTACCCATGTATATATAATAGGTGAATCCATTTGCCAGTCACACTTAATTTAGGTCTCAAAACACTCATTTAACTACAGAGCACATTCAAGTCACCGATTGGATATTTTCAGTAAAATAAAACAAACCAACACTATTTTTTTTATTCTGTTCTACCCAATAATGTATGAATATATAGATCCAAGCAATATTAATAATGATTGCTTCATAGATCTATATGAATTCCAACGGTAAAAACTACCTTGTGTTCATGGGGCTTTTTATTCAGCTGCCAGTCAATACAGATGTCAGAGTGAAAAAAAGCTTCTGTATTTAGGCAGACATCAAGAAAAAGTGTGACTCATACCAACCTCACTAATAACTTAAGTTACTAATGAGTTGTTAAGACATTTAATGGAGATCCATGTGTCTTCATAGGTAAGCTTTTTCTATGTCATGTAATTCTGTTTGTGGTGGACGTTTCACCTCAAAACAACGTGGTAGCATCAGTTGTCAACAAATAACTTACTATAGTGTTTTTTTCAAACATTTACATCTCCATAATTTGAATGACATGACTTTAATCCAAAAAATTGAAGTTGAAATTGATAAGTAAACATAGTATATTGCTAAAGTTATAATGTATCTGTGTATAACTATGAGAATTGTACCTTTTATAAATGTGGTTATGAGTCAGGTGATGAGACAGATGTGAGTCATTGTGAAACAAGTCATGCCCAACTCTGTTGTCTTGCAGCAATGGCTGGAGGCCGCAGACAGCAGGGCGGAGCTGTTCCGCTACCTGAAGGAGCAGGTGCCACAGATCTTCTGCCTGAAGAAGGAGTCCACCCCTCAGGAGGAAGAGGAGCTCATGCAGAGCCGACTCCTCTACCCTCTGGAGTGCTTCCTGTTTGGGGAGGATCCTCAGGAGGGTCTGGAGAAGCTCAAGCAGGGCAGCACCTCCTCCCAACTCTGCGGACGTGTTTTTAAAGAGGGAGAGACGGTCTACTCCTGCAGGTCTGAAAACATATCTGAAAAACAAATTGAAAAGAAAATTGTCATGGCAATAATAATTGTAGTTGTGATTCAATTTGCTTGTAATTAAAAATACTGGAAGGCGTCAACATCTACAAAAAATCTTATCGTTTTGGTTGTTTTTAGGGATGAATAAATTAAAAGTAAAAAGTATTTGCACATTGCACAGCCCCGTTGGAATCTAGATTACAAGGTGAGGTATAAAGCCATGGAGTTCAAAGAGAGCAATAAACCTACCTGGAGACTATTTGTCATCATTAAATACAACTGTAAGGAACAGTTTGGCCTCATTAGGTTTTAGTTCAGCAATGATCTTATCACACGGCAACCCCACAGTATTTAGGCTAAGTGTTAAAAATAAATAGTTAATGAGTAGACTCAGGTTTCAGTATGTCGCAGTTTGTGAGTGGACTCTCATTTTTTGTGGCAGTTCTTCCTCAATTTCCTTATCAAGATGTCATAAAAAGTTGGATGTCTTAGTATAAACCAGAGGGCAACACTTTTAACACACCTAATAGCTTTCAACTACAAAAAAACCTGGTAATAAGTCAATTTAACAATGAAGAGTGACAATAACTCAGGTTTAAAAAAAAAAAGGTTTGTGCAGTTTTATAGGTGTTTCTTTAAAAACTCAACTGTCATAAGCACACACAGATATTGAAAGCTGGTACCTGAGTATACAATGAGACTAAAGTCTGTTTGTTATTTTATTAATCATATCCTCTGATACTATAATAAATATGACATTAAGCCAATGACAATCATTCGGTATCAACAGAACTAAAGTGCATGTGCTCATCAAGTTTTCTCTTGAAATGTTAACATTGAAGAAACAGGATGGGTTAATGCAGGAAAGGTCTTCATCCAGTTCAGTTTGTACAGTAACTATGACAACATTCAGCCTCTGATAATACACATTTAAATAACAAATCCTCTTCACATTTCAGGGATTGTGCAATAGATCCCACTTGTGTCCTGTGCATGGACTGCTTCCAGGATAGCGTGCACAAAACCCATCGTTACAAGGTTGGGGTCAATGTTTAATTTTTCTATGAATTCTAAATGGACAATTGTATAATTGTTTTATTTTATTTTGATTGATCGCAGTAAGCTTTTCCCCCCTTGGATAAAGACAATGAAAGAAAATCCCTGATTGTTGTATTTATGTTATGACATGATTTCTTTTTAGGCTAACACATAGTCGAAGATACTATGTATGTATACTATGTATGTACTATAGTATGCTTTAGTCTCATACTAAAGCATCAAGTCTTTGGAACAAAACCCAAGTCCATATGCAATAAAATGTCTGATTAATGGATTTCAAATCAATATAGGACTGATATTTGGTCTTTCATGTTGTAACTCAGTTTTAAATAATAATGCATCCCCACAGCTACAGCAGTTAAACTACTTTATTTCGGCTCAGTGTATCCACTACTCTCCCATAGTGATATACAGCATGTACATTTCTTTCCAGATGCACGCGTCATCAGGAGGGGGCTTCTGTGATTGTGGGGATGTAGAAGCCTGGAAGATTGGCCCCTGTTGCTCCAAACACGACCCAGGAGCAGACACTGCCATGGTAACGGTGAGTTACATAAGAGAGCGGAAAGAGGGACGTGGGAGGGGCGTACTTGTCCCATTCTGTGTCACTGCTCTCTTGGCTGTGAGTTTGGCTCCGGAAATGAGAAAGAAAAAGCACATTGTTGACCTGCACCGACTGAGAACATGTATAACTAGGTTAAAAGATTAGGCGGGTGTTTGAGTGCTGAGAAGCTGGAGGAAAACATTTGTTGGTGCTGGACTGTGCGTGTAATCAGTTTACAGCCTCTCCTACCCGACTGCTGCTTGGAAACATATTGATGATTGATTGCCCTGTGCAGCAGTTGTTTGTCAGGCCCTTCTTTGCTGATGTGTTTGGGCTTTTCTCTGATAAGATCCTACTCAGGAGCTCTGAGCAGACGTGCAGCTTGACGGCTCTGCGCCTGTTTCCGTAAACAGCAGGTGCTCCTATTAACAAAGACATTACTGGCACCAGTCCACCAGGCTGCGGTGTGTTTTTTTTTACACTAGATCTGAACCTGTGCTTAACAAGAAGTGACGCATCACATGGCCATGAACACATCTCCATGCTGAACATGAAAACCCATCATGCTGCTTCAGACCTCTTTTTGTTTAGATTGTGGTAGATTCCAGTGCTTGTTCTCACACAGTAGTGTGACGTAGGGACCGGTGTAAACACACAGACTCACTGTATGTTTGTTTGGTTTGTGTGTTAAATGTCAGACATTTGTATGAAATACTTCGCCGCTATGTGGAATGTTACTCAGGGGATTTTATTGTAACTCCACTCTGGCGGCTGCCTGTTTAGCTCTTATTAAGAAAAATATATAGACCGACTCCATGTCATATTGGAGCGTCAGTGCTTGTGCCAAAGAAAATAGGGAATTATAGAAGGTCAGAAACGTTATCCATTTCAGAGTAGCTCGTGTTTTTGGAAAGTTAATTATTTATATTTTTCAGTTTTAATCATGGAATACTTTCACTTGTCTTAAACGTTTATGAAATCATTGACGTCTCTAACAAATGACACTTAGTTGTCAGAACAGAAATGTTTCTCCCTAGTATAAGACAGTGTTTCTACTTTGATAGTTTTGGAGCAAGACAACTCTTGAAATGTTATTGGTGTGCTTAAATAATCCTGTGTCTCATTTTGTGCAGGATGAGTGTGGAGTGGAGCCCGAGTTATACGAGCGTGCTGAGAGGCTGTTTCGGATACTACTGCACTACGTCACAGATTTCTTGGTGTGGGAGGAGAGCCACGACCTCTCAGCCGAGCTCCAGCCCCGGTATGGCCTGTCTAATCACATGCAAATACATCAATTCCCAAGCAAAGCACACAACTTTACTTTGACAGTGTATTTCTCCTTCTGTGCAGGGCAAAAGACAATGCATACTACTGTGTACTGTACAATGATGAGCACCACTCGTACGACCATGTGATCTACACCCTGCAGCGCTCTGTTAACTGTGATCAGGCTGAAGCGCAGACACACACAGCACTTATTGACAAGGAGGTATTTTTTGTTTTCATAACTTTTCCTTAACAATACTGTAAATTCGAAGGGAGACGACTTAAATCTTTATTCGTAATATGCACTCATCATATCTACTGCAGAAAATGTAATATTTGATAACTGTTGCAGGGTCGACGGGCAGTAAAGAGAGGAACCCTTCGTTCCTGCCAACAAGCAAAAGATCTCATCAGGGTAAACACCAGCCTCTGACTTTCATGCAAGACATTTTAAATCACAAGTCTTGAATCTGAAATCATTATTGTCCAGTTTTGCATTTTTAAGCACATTCTAAATCTTTCTCTGCTGTTTTTCAGTCCAACTCGGAGCACATTTCCCAGCAGCCACTACGTGTAGAGATCCTTCACTCAGCAGTTATGGCTCATCAAAGTTTTGTTCTGCGCCTCGGCCCCTGGTTCCAAAAGATCATCGGTTACTCAGGTATTGTTCCCATACCTGCACAACACAATCTTAAAGGTTTCATTTATTGATTCCTCACTTTTGATGGGTAGCATTGTCTAAAGAAAGCTGCAAAATGTGTGTATGATTTGAACTTTTGGCGTCAAATTGCGTCCAGAAAATACCCTCAGTCAATAGAATCCTGTTACAGGTTGACCTGTGGTATAAAAATATCCTTCCACCTGAAACACACAAACAAGTCTCACTGCTGCAGAAGATGTTCATTTTGGTTATAGTTAGTCCTCAGTTGTCCCTGCCCAGTTGCATGTCATGTGATTGGGAACCTTTGTGTTTGTGCAGTGGGCTTCAGGCAGGCTTTCTGTCAGGTGGCACTAGAAACCAATCCAGACGGGGACCAGCCTTGCCTCATCAGCAAACTCATGCTGCACGACGGCAAGATGTACAAAGGCAAGTGGATCTGAGCTTGATCTTCAGTACAAGCTTATCCTCAACTCGGTTCCATTTGAGACTAACATGAAGGTTTTTTTCCTATTTCCTCAAGGTGCACGCAAGATCGTCCATGAACTGATTTTCTGTAGCATGCTAATGGAGACAGAGTTCAAGAGGCTTTTTGCAATTGAATTTACAAAGGTAAAAAAAAAATTATTTGTTCTTTTTTTCAATTCTATAACCTGCCTAAATTAATACATGTTTTGTACATGTACAATTAATACCTCTACTTTGTCTTTTCAGCACTACAAGCAGCTGCAAAGGGACTTTATAGTGGATGACCATGAGAGGAGCATATCCATCACTGCTTTGTCTGTTCAAATATTCACTGTACCCACACTGGTGAGTGTGGCTTTTTGTTCGGGCATTAATGTAGATATTGTGTTATAAACCTATTTCCTGCAGACAATTATTGCAAATATTCAGTTTTTTTTTAATGCAGAATAAATGTGTCCCTGGGATATATGCCGGTTGTAAACTTTTCCACTGGAGGCAAAAGCCAAATGTCATTTAATGTGGATTTTCCACTGTAAAAGGGGCTATAATGGGGTAAATGTTATTTCTCTTTAAATCTGTGACTTAACATCCATGTCTTTTCTCACGCGCCTGTTCCTCTTTTAGGCCAGACAGCTCATCGAAGTGGGCAATGTCATTAAAGTGATAGTTGGTACAGTCATGGATTTGCTGCGTGAACATCTGGATGACAACAATCGCTTCTTCTTCCTCGGCTACAACTCTGACAAATTCTCACGCATTCAGGTCATCTTCCACGACCTCAGGTCATTAAACAGGAAACAACTTGAACTACTCTCAGTTTCTAACTTTTGTTGGTTCTTTATCTAATATGGAACTTGTGTCTCCCAGGTACATCCTGATCAGTAAACCCTCAGTATGGACTGAAGAGCTGCGGACAGAGTTCATGGAGGGATTCAAAGTCTTTCTTGGGCTTCTCAAATGCATGCAGGTAATAATTATCTCAACTCTGATTCATTCTTGATACTGTGCAATAGCAGGGCAATTACATCAGCTTACAGAAACTTGAGAAACCAGATATTTGATACCTTCTTTTACTTTTCTTTTCAGGGTATGGAGGAGGTGAAGCGCCAGTTTGGTCAACACATTGCGGTAGAGCCAGAATGGGAGGCTGGCTTTTCTCTTCAGATCCAGCTTCGCCACATTCTTGCTATGTTTCAGGACTGGTGTTCCTCTGATGTGAGTTGTCAAGCAATTTGTCCCTCAAATCAAAGTTATCCGACAGATTTAGGGAGCGTCACCCCCTCACTGTCTGTTCAGAAGTAAAGAAGAGAGGATGTAATTGCTTTGGTCAATTATTGCCTGCTTGTCCCCCCAGGAGGAGATATTGATGGTTGCATTTAAAGAGTGCCACAGTGTCCTGATGCAGTGCAATAACCAGCCCTTCCATAGAGAGGCCACCGACTACTACATGTGCAAACACATCATCCATGTTCATCCATACAAAGTGTCCCAAGAGCCTGTCAGCATACACCTGCCCGTCTCCAGGCTACTAGCTGGTAGGATCATTTATTTCAGACACTTGTATATTCTTTTGGTATTTTTCTTTTACAGTGAACTTACTCTTCTGTACATTTTAATCCCTAGGTCTGTATGTACTAATGTGCAGAGCAGGGGCAGTTGATCGTCTGGATAATCTTGTAAGTGTCTTCAAACCATATTTAAATGCTTAGTTAGCAGCCTGTTTCAGTGTTCAGTGTGGGCTGTGTCTTTATTGAATAAACATCTTAACGTCCACTGCTGGTATTAGAGAGATAAGGTTTTCCTCCATCTGTTGCAGGAGGGCTTTGACCGCACCCAGCTGGTGGAGCATCCTCTGCGCTGTGTGGTGCTGGCTGCTCAGGTCTCTGCTGAAATGTGGCGGAGAAATGGGCTCTCATTGGTCAGCCAGGTATACTACACCCCTTTTGCGGCTCAACACATATTTCTTCTTCTCTTTATTTACTAAATAAACAAATTTCAAGTCAATTAACTGTTCTTTCACATTATCAGGTCTACTACTATCAGGATGTAAAATGCAGGGACGAGATGTACGATAAGGACATTCTCATGCTACAGGTTGGAGGCCATCATACATTGAGAATATCTTCCCATATCTGCTCTTACTCTTCACCGTTTTTATACATGTGTTGATATATGACCTTCTCTTAAAATGTTCAAACAGATTGCTGCTTCCAAAATGGACCCCAACCACTTCCTCATGCTGGTCTTGTTGAGATTCGAGCTCTTTGATTATTTCAATGGAAGTTGTTCAAGCAAAGACCAGGTAAGCACCAAACTATTAACCACTCAGAAGGAAAAAAAATGTTGCGCCACAAAATGCTCTACTTATGTAATGCAACATCATTTTCAGGATGAGCTGATACAGTGGAACCGCCTGACAGAGGAGATGCTGTACCTCCTTATCGTCATCACAGGTACACTGTCACATTCTGCTCATCATGGGAAGATAGTTAGTTGGATATGAACCAAACTGCAGTATCTGACCAGTGTTGTGTTTCAGGCGAGCGATATGTCCCCGGTGTCAGTGAGGTGACCAAAGAGGACGTGACGATGAGGGAGGTTATCCACCTGCTGTGCATTGAGCCCATGGCTCACAGTAGCCTGGTCAAAGGTCTGCCAGAGAACGTAAGAACCACATGCTGGCTAAATTATAGTTACATGTTTTGTTTTATGATTGAATAATCCTTGGAGAACACGTTAAACATTTTTTCTTTTGTAGGAGAGCCACGAAACCGGCCTGGAGTCTGTAATTACCAAAGTTGCCACCTTCAAGTACGTAAAGACCGTAAAATAGCTAATGGGTTATTAGTTAAGGGTAACTTCGGAGTTGGTTTAAATCAGTCTATTCTGCTTCTCTCTTTAGAAAACCCGGAGTTTCAGGGCATGGATTGTATGGAGTAAAAAAAGAGCTTCTGGTAGAATTCAATCCTTTCTTCTACCACTACTCAAGATCACAGCATAGCAAGGTACACCGTGTTTTAACTCCAGTTGTACATAACATTTGAACTTTAGTGAATATCCCTTATTTAATTTGTCTCTTTTACTGTTTGCAGGCTGAAGAGTCTCAGAAGAAGAGGAGGACTCACGAGGGCAATGACAAAGGTTATTCATGCATTTCCTCTGCACACTGTTCTGTATACCTCTAAGATATAACAATATGTTCTCCCCTTGCTAATGAAGCAGCTCCACCAACATTCCTTCTGTTTGTCTTTGTTCCCAGCTCTGCGTCCTCCGATGCCCCCCCCCTTCTGCCCAGCTTTCTCCAGCGTAGTGCGTCTGCTCTGCTGCGACATTATCATCCACGTCCTGAGGCGTGTCCTGCAGAGAGCTGCAGAGGACCGGGCCACCCATTGGACAGAAGCCATGATCCAGAGGGTACACATCACATCAGTTTCTTTCTAGTCTACCTTGCTCCGGCTTTTGCTTTTTATTACTAAAACCACTTGCAGTAACTAAATGCATGCGTTTACCACACAGGCCCTGCACTTGATAGGCCAGGCATTGCTTGAAGAGAAATCACAGCTTGAAGAGAGCACTGATGAGGAGGTGATTTTTGATTTCAGCCTCAAGGCCCGCAGTAAGTGACAACTCATTATTTTGTTTTCAGCACTCCCTTACTATCAATCAGCTTTCTCAAATCTATCAATCGGTTTAGTTTTGGATATTCTGTTACATAAATGTCTCTTCTGGTTTTCCAGGAATCGGTTCAGAACATGGGAAGTCAGTATTTCTCTTGCTGTCCAAGATCAAGGCTGTTCCTTCCCTCGAAGCCCAAAAAGACATGGTCAAATGGGTACTACAGGTATAAATATTATATTATTATTATTATTATTATTATTATCGTATAACGGTTTCTATCATTTTTGTACATTCATGCATTTCTCTTCAACATTCAATTTATCTTCAATTAACAATGTTTTATATTTTTCTACTAGATGTTTGAGATTGTCAAGTGCCTTAGAGAGAAGTCCAGTCCCTCTGCCTCCATGAGCATGGATACCAGCAAGCCAGAGGAGGTAAAAGAACCTTGCATAACGATAAACACATTTGCATTTACTGATACTGTTGGCTCAAGATAACGTTTTCTTGTGCTCGAGTGAGTATTCAAGAAAGCTTAATGTCATTGTTACCAAAAGTAAAACTGTACTTCTCCTATCGTGGTCAGAGTCATTTAAGGAACTTAAAAAATAGAATTATAAAAGATCAATGATCAAGACTAACAGGCATCTTGTGCTGCTCAGAGCCGCACGGTCTTCATGTCAGTACCTCCTTAGTCTTCCAGCATTACACTGACAATTCAATATTCATTTGGTTTACCAATGAGACCTAAGTTTAAGTCACCGCTCACAATGATAGCCCTCACTCGTGAAATTGTATGAAATAACAAAAACTTGATTGCATTGTGTATCTTTTTAGTTTCTGGAGATTTGAATCGGTTTGTTATTATTCCAGAGTGCTCAGGACAAAGAGAAAGCTGAGCGCAAAAGAAAGGCCGAAGCAGCCAAACTCCACCGGCAGAAGATTATGGCTCAGATGTCAGCGATGCAGAAAAACTTCATAGAGTCAAACAAGATGCTGTATGAAAACATGCCAGAGAGCGGGACACAGGGAGAGCCTGTGACAACTCCTGAGAAGTGAGGAGCAACATGGAAAAACAAATCAATGGCTGTGTGTAGCTTGCTTGAGATCAACATCTAAAACAAATAGATTTGGCTAATTCTCGTTGGGGTTATGTTGACTCCTCTAGCTGCGCCATGGAGCACAGGGAGCTGTGTGTTGCCGTGGGGCCCCTACGAGGCTGCTCCCCGGCCGAGAGGGAGGTGCTCACCTGCATCCTGTGCCAGGAGGAACAGGAGGTGGTGGCCCAGGCTCCAGCCATGGTACTGACTGCGTGTGTCCAGAGGTCCACAGTGCTGACGCAGTGCAGAGGAAAGATACCGGCCAACAGAGCAGATGGTCAGTCTCCATTTGTTTCATTTCATTGTTAACTGCAATTTGATTGGAAGAAATCTTTAACTAATGTGTGCTTTTGTATGTATCCCTTAAAGGGACAGGGGCATCATATCCCCTCTTCATGACTCCTGAACTGGCAGTTGGGACCCACACGGGCAGCTGTGGACACGTCATGCATGCCACATGTTGGCAGAAGTGAGTAATTGTATACATTTTAAAACCAAACATAAACTATAAAGAACACATTTGATGATAATGTATCTGTGTGATCCACTTGAAGACTCCATTTGCCATTAGGTTGCTATTTCTATATTTTTCAGATATTTTGAGGCAGTTCAGAACATGACCAGGAACCGGCTTCACGCTGAGCTGATCATCGACCTGGAGAACGGGGAGTACTTGTGTCCCCTGTGCAAATCTCTGTGCAACACTGTGGTCCCTCTCATCCCGTTTGAAACACTAACATTTAACTAGTAAGTCCACCTCGGCTTCTTCAGGCCAATCTTTTAATCGATTGATACCTGTACGAATGTTTAATGAATATTTATTTCCTGTGTGCAGTGAAAATGCAGAGATAATTGGACATCATTTGACCCTGCCTCGCTGGATCCAGATCCTCTCTGCCAGGATTAAAGGACTCAAGTCTGTTGCTCAGGATAATGGTAAGAAGACATAATCCACATACATGACTTCATATGTGTTGGAGGGTTAGGGTTAGTCGCTAGCAGTATGCCATTAATGTAAACTCAGCACTGCAGTTGCGTCATAAGAAAAGCCAAAGTAAGCTTTAGAGCAGGGGTGTCAAACTCAATTTCATTGCGGGCCACATTCGCATAAAGGTTGCACTCAAAGGGCCGGTTGTAACTATATAAATATATAATATATATATATATATATATATAAAATAATGTATTGTATTACATTATTGCCTCTGAATTGGATTATTATCGGATAGGATAATAACTTAGTAATTAACTACGTCTGAAAGCAGAAGTCCAGGGCAAATAATTGCAAGTCTCTTCAGTGCGCATGTCACAAAACGAGATGCATTGTGAGACATGTAGTTTATGGGCAACCTGCTTCTGTAAAGTGGCATGTAACCGTATAATAAACGTATTCTATTTGCAAGCTCTTGCGGGGCCACATCAAATGAAGTCGCGGGCCGGATTTGGCCCCCGGGCCTTGAGTTTGAGACCCCTGCTTTAGAGGGTGGAGGACAAGCAGCTGCAGAAGTTTTATTTCGCACATACTGTCACAAACTGAAAACAGGTGCATGCTGACTATGGAGAATATGGAGGTTGATAAATGACTGCCTTTTTATATATCATCTCCTCTGCTTCAATATCTACTAAGTTCCGTTATAACTATTTGTTGCCATGTGCTACACGAGACACTGATGATTTCTCTCTGGTGCAGAGTGCAACACACAGGCCAGCAGTGTTGATGTGGACACGGGGCTGTGTGGGGAGGGTCAGCCAGACTTCAGATCCATTCTGAGCTACGGAGTACAAGAACCGTGAGTGAACCTGTCAGCGCCCTCTGAGTGTCTTTGTGTCCTATAGAGCAGCAGCTTGAACTCTCTGCTGCTGGTGCTTTTTAGGAGGAAGTTCTCCGACAGCATAGTGGAGATGCTGGTTGTCTGCGCCACCACGGTTCACAGGGTGGGTCTGCAGACGGGACCCAATGAGCTGTGCCCACGTGTGCCCCTTATGGCTTGGAACACATGTGCCTTCACTATACAGGCCATAGGTACAGTAATAGTTATAATACCATTTCTGTCTATCTGCCCCCTTTTTAAGTTTTTGCGATTCTCAAAATATGTTTTGTCTTCACAGAAAACATATTGCAGGAAGAGGGCAAGCCACTCTTTGGGTCCTTGCAGAACAGACAGGTTGGCTGCCATTTGACTACATAAAGCATGATATGTATAATGTTATGACTTGGTCAGACATCAGTTTTTAAATGTTTCTCTATTTCAGCTTGCAGGTCTGAAGGCGATTGTTCAGTTTTCAGCAGCTCAGAGACTAAAGAGCTCCCAGGCTGTCATTCAAAGGCACTTCAACGACATGTTGGGAGGTATGTGGACATTTAAAATTAATTTAACAAAATGTAATTATTATATTATTATTACCTTTCTTTTCTATATAAAGCATACTGTGTTCTTCCTTTATGTATTATAGTATGTGCTACTTCCTTTTTTCTTGCTGTCCATTTACACTGTGGTCTTAACTGTGACTTTTCCCACAGTCTTGCTACCGGTCATAGGCAGAAAGAACACGCCTTCTATCCTGGAGGTCGACTTCTTCCATCTTCTGGTAGGTTTCACCTGAAACGGGGGTCCAGTGGATCCTCAAAAAGTTTTGATCGGCATCATTGATTTCATTTTTTAAATGTATTTAACATTTCTACTCGTCATTTCTGAGTTTAATTTAATATAACTTTATTTTTGTTTCTCCTTGCATGTATTAACATCTTTGTTTATGGTGTGTGTGTCCTTGTGTGTTTTGTCAGGTGGGCTTGGTGTTGTCTATACCCTCACTGTATCAGGAGGAGGCTGTAGACCTACAGCCGTCAGCCGTCAGCTCCGCCTACAACCACCTGCACATCCTGCACATGGTCACCATGGCTCACATGCTGCAGGTCCTCCTGTCCTCTACAGGTACAGACAGCATAACCATACATTATGTATGTTGTGTTTTACCCTACTACCTCAGAATGCTGTTTAATATCACAGATGAATAAATAATGGTGGCATTTCTACCTAGATTTCCCTGCAGTAGCTGGAGAGGAAACAGAGGAGACGAGGGCTGCAGCAGAGCTGTACGCTGCAGTGTCACATCACACCGACAGGTACAAGGGTTTCTGACAAAAACATGAGCAAATGTCTTTTTGGTTTAACATTTGTACATGATAAAAACAAAAAAAGAGGATGAGATCTGTGAACTACTTGTAGTTTGTATATCTTGGTTATCCTTTTATAAGTATAGTGGTAACTAAAGGTTATTGAGGTTATTATTTCTACTGAATAATAAGCAAAACTATTTCTATTTTAAAGCCCTTTCGCTTATACAGCAACTTGCAGCACAACCATTAAAAGCTAGAAAAAGTGAGCGTGTAGACATGCAATTATATTGTGCTCAAAACTAATAGACATGTATATTAAAGGTCCCCTATTATACTGTTTTTCTTCAATATATTATAGGTCTCAGATATATACAAAACATGTCTCTGAAGTGTTTGGCTCGAAATACCAAACAGATCATTGTAGCATCCCATAATCCCCTCTGTTTCAGGCCTGTTTCAAAAGTGCTGATTCTCTGTCTGTTACTTTAGATGAAAATAAGGAGCCACTCCCCACGCCCCTCAGAGATATTTGGTTAAAAAGAACACAATGGTGCTCTAGGAGGAGATTCAGGTGAAAAGGTGGCGGGGGGTGTTACCTTGGTTGGTGATTGGCTAATGGTTACACAAGCCAAAATATCGTTATGACATCATAAAGTGGCCAAAATTTGATCAGCTCATTTTCAGACAGGTTTTTATAGAAATGGATCAGGACAAAAAGTGAGAAAATCCTTTTTCCTGAAACTTTCAGAATCTCTTTACACAGAGGGGACATGTGTTTATGTATAAAAGACATGAAAAAGTTGATTTTGCATAATAGGTGACCTTTAAGGAAATGCAAAGGTCATGTGTTGTGATACTTTGATTAAAACATTCAAAAATACATTTTGGTTTTGTGACCCAAAAGTATTGCATGATGATTATATATATATATATATATATATATATATATATATATATATATATATATATATATATATATATATATATATATATATATATATATATATATATATATATACACACACACAATTTATTTAGCTGTTCCTAATAGTTTAACCTTTACATAAAGGTCACACTTCTAAGCTCAGATTCTTAATGGAGTTATTATGGGATTTCATTTCATTTCAATCTTTATTTCGAACAGATAAAAAAATAACAAATAAAAAATAACAAATGTGAAAAACAGAATACCGTATTGTTAAAATACAGTATTTATCCACATTCATGATAATATTTATATATTCAACAAAAAAGTCTTCATATTGATAATAATAATAAATCATATGTGTCCGAAAGGGAGCAGGATCAGTCCACAGTGTGTAGGGATGTAATTCTCAGCAGTGATGGTTCACAACCTTAGAGTTTCTTCTACTTTGTTACATTACCCTCTCAGATGCTGATGCTAAAACTGAGGTTCTGCTATTGTTACCTTCTTTGTGGCAAATATGTTTTTTATTTGTTTGATGTCTGCAGTGCTACCACCCTTATATTATTTTGTAAGCTATGTTTGACCGTCCCAGTACCCTGCAATAAGGAGAACATTGTTATTTTGAACCTTTCATATCAGACTTTTTATGAAAACATTGGAAACAAACAACCTCTCAGTCGAGGCAATCATCGCTCCTTGTTCCCTGGTGTCATGGCTCTTTTTATGCTGCATGTTCAGACACGTACACATTAATGTGGACTTCCTTCAGCTTGTTTGACTGATTTCTCTTGGTTTTGCTCATCAGGCTGAATCCAGATGTGTCCGGCAGCTCTGTGGCAGAAAGAGTAAAGAGAGGAATGGAACCTTTCCTGCGCTGTGCTGCTCTCTTTTTCAATTGCCTTACAGGAGTCAATCCTCCAGAGGAGCTTTCTAGTACTGCAGGTAGGTGAAGGGATATATGACTACAACTAAATGCATATGGTGATTCGAGGAAATCATGCTGACGTTTTGGCTCTTTGCAGTTACCTCTCAAGGACAGATGGAGGCGCTATGCAGCTACTTGGCACTTCCCTCCAATGTTTTCCAGCTCTTCCAGGAGCACAGAGACTCCGTTACTCCACTGCTGCAGAGGTAGGTGATGAACATGAGGCAAAGATATGTTCATATTTATCCGAGAGTTTGTATGACAATGTTTTTGATTCCTTAGGTGGTGCGGGAACCCAGCTGTTACCAAAGCCCTGAGAGGCAAAATCCAGACCGTCAGGTAGACTTAAGCCTTTGTTTCCTTTAGTCCCACTTTTATTTTGTAATAAAACATAATCTCGTAAAACAATGAATAAACTCTTCCCCCAGATACCCCAGAAGAAGGAATCGTCTGATTGATCTTCCTGAGGATTACAGTGCTCTCCTCAATCAAGCATGCCATTTTCAGTAAGTGGGAAATGAACTGGCCTTTCCGTCACAACGTTGTGCTGTAAAATCTGTCCGAGATGTTCAGCCTGTCTCCTCTGTACTCCGTCCTCAGGTGCCCCAAGTCCACAGACGATGACAGGAAGCACCCGACCCTGTGCCTGTTCTGCGGGGCCATGCTGTGCTCTCAGAGCTCCTGCTGCCTCAGCCAGCTGGATGGAGAGGATGTGGGGGCCTGCACCGCCCACGCTGCTACCTGTGGAGCCGGAGTGGGCATGTTCCTCAGGTGGGTCAACTGAAGGCCTCTTGCGGATCAAGATCTTTTGTTTCAGCTCTAAAACAGGATTTGTATCTGCTTTTTTAAAATGAATTGCATGCTTTCCTGCTTGAAATGTGCTGAATATGAATTCTGATTTGATGTTGACAGGATAAGAGAGTGTGAAATTGTACTGATGGCCAGTAAGACTCGAGGAAGCACTTACCCCGCTCCTTACCTGGATGATTATGGGGAGACTGATCCTCACCTTGGGTAAGAATCACAGCTTTTTGTCCAGGTGCTATACTGTAATAACTTCTGCTTACAATTGCAAGTGTTGTTATGGCCTCCTACTGGCAAGTCAGTATTGTAATAGCTGCTGCAAGTTTAAAGGTAGGGTAGTTAAGTTTGAGAAACCGGCTCGAGATACACTTTTTGTTATATTCCATGGAATGCTCTTAACATCCCGATAGCAATGAATATCTTAAGTGCTTTGACAAAAAATCCATAAATTGTTTTACCTACCCTACCTTTAAGTGTTACAGCTGCTTTTATTCAGAACTGCAGCTGGGACACGCATTGTGTTCTGATAATATTAGCTGAGACTGTTGCTTCACATCAGTGACACCATTTGTCCCTGTTTAAAATTGGTCGGTAATAGACCAAAACGATTTGGATTGGGAGCAAGATTATATCACACCTTTAAACATCATATTAACAATCCTTTGAATTTAACAAAATACGAATTATATCATTTAGTATTACTGCTTCAGTAGAAGCTTGTTACAATATACCATTGTTGTATCAAATGTTTTGTGTGTTTCTTTGACAATCCCTTCAATAAATCCCTCCCTCTGTCTTTTCATTTCTAGAAGGGGCAATCCACTGCACCTTTGCCCAGAGCGCTACAGGAAGCTGAACCAGCTGTGGCAGCAGCACTGCATCCTGGAAGAAATCGCCCGCAGCCTGGAGGTGGTCAACGTTATGTTTGCCTTTGAGTGGCAGATGTTGTGATGATTGCTCCAGATGTGGTGGCCGGGAAGTAAAGAGCACAGCCATAGAGCACACCCTGCTCCGGTGCTCCTAGGGCACAAACACACATACACACACACACACACGCACGCATGCACACACACATAGAAACCTCCTACAATCAAAGGAGGTCTGAGCAGCCACCCCCTCCCTGATGAAACCCCTGCTGGAGTATAGAGAGGTGGGATGGTCGGAGGAAGAATAGTGGAGCGAGATGAATAATAAGTAAACCCAAGTCGCCTTGTTTTAATTTGATTGTCTGCTGTGACAGTGAGTTTCTCCCAGAGTAATGTTATTTGCAAGAGGCTCCTTCAAATAAAGACAAAAATCAGTTACACACCAACATGTTTCAGTTATCCATTTATATATTTGACTTCCCTCGGTAATGCTGTGAATTTTCTGCATTCTCTTTTGGTGTTAGACACTATGATTTGTCATGAGTTATAACAGTTATATAATGCTGTTTTAAAAAAGGTACATTTGTTTGGAAATCAGGCGCGTTTAGAGACATCACACATTTGAGCTTTTGCCCATTCATTATGTAGACAGTCCAGATGATGAAGCCACGTCCTAACGTCACCTTTACTCGCATATAGGAGCATATGTAAGGAATAAAGAATATACATTTTTTTCAAGTTGTATTTAAACAAATCCAGTATTCTGAAGGATACAGTGACGATCCCACATTTTTTCCTGAAAAAGAGATGCATTGAATGATAAACAGACACTTTTCTGAATATTTCAGCCACATTTCCTCGCTGACCCTAAGAATTAGTGAGCGAACAATATAAAACCCTCCCTACCATATATAGTATTATAAAATGCCCTTTTATAAATACAAAAAAAAAGTTTAGGCCAAAGTGATTCTTCTTATAATTATCTGATATCCAGTGTACATTTGTTATGATGGAACGTATAGAGGGGACCATTGCTAGTCACAATTCTCCACGTGGTGGTAATCCAATTTATACAAATGGAAATTAAGTTAAAATATTTTCTTTTTAGGAAAAACTTTATATTGAACACAATATAAGATAGTATATCTTTTATTTTCAGTTACTCATCCATCATTCAGCCTTTTCAGGAAATGTGTGAATATAAATGTCCTCTGTGTTGTTTGACAGACCTACATGACTTCCAGGCTGTGGAAATAAAGACATTGGCCTATATACTGATTATCTGCTTCTGTGCCCTGAATCAATCCGAGTGTGTATAAAATCTCAAATGTTATGCGATAAGATTGAATTAAATGGAATACTAACCTTCTTGTAACACACCATAGAATAAATTAATTATCTTTTTTCCACTATCAATACTGCATCATCCATCAAGTGAGAGCCCGATGAGGCAAAATCAAGATTGCTTAAACCTAACCCCCAACTTTAATTTAGCAACCTACAAGTCGTTTAGCTTCACCAAATGTTAAAGCTTTAATTTGGCTTCTGATCTGCCATGTGCTCCTTTTAATTTGGGGGAAAAAAGGCAGAAAAGTGAATTTGACCAACAGATGTCATCCTGCCGTCATCAGCTAATATATTTAAGGCTTACTTATTAAACATTTAGTAAGCCCTGGTAGTGTAGTTTGCAATGTACAGTTTGGAGCACTAACAAAACAATAATAACGAATATCTCTTGCTCAGAAGGTTTACTGTCAAGCTTTTAGTTTCTCATCCCAGCAAAATGGCTGAGGTGTTTTTATAAGACCATGGTGGCATTGCTGAGGCACGTTAGTCATTGTAAATGGTTTAAAAGGATTATGTGTTATAAGGAGTTATCAATTCGATTTGTGTCTGATTTTGTGTTTTTAACTAAAAGCAAGTGCGTACTCCTATCACATTGGTACAATTCTATTCGCTCTAGTCCTATAATATGCACCGATAGGATCCAAAACTGTAACTGTGGACTTAAAGTACTTGAATTGCATTTAAATTGAGGCCATAAGCACATTCTTCGTCACACTCTAAAATATATTTCAAGTTGAAATGAGCCTCTAGTGTTGCTAAACTGACAGGTGTATGAAACAGTTTTGGAAACCTGTTGCTAAACTGTGATACACAGACAACAAAATGTCATTTGTAAACAACAGATAACAGTACAGATGAACAGAAACAATGTAAATGTTTTGTGTGTTTAAGATGTTTAAGTGTTTGTATAAAAAAAGAAATCTGTGTTAAGAAAGATTCTGGTAATTCAAAAAGGCATTATGCATTTTGGAAAAGATCTACCCTGTCATGATTATGATGTGTTATACGTATAGTGATAGTGATTGATTTCCAATAGTGTTAGAGTTAGTCATATTATATTTCAGTTTTCACACAGTAAACATTTTAAAGATATTTCTTAGCGGTAATTTTTGCCTCATGGATAAAAAAAACAATTAAAATAACATAAAGAAACCTTTAGATAACGGTTTAAAGGCCTTCATGGATGCCCTTCAGCCTGATGAAGGTCAACTGGCCTCAGGTATTTGCTTTGGCGGCACATTGTCCGGCCCTTAGTGTGCTATAGAGGAGGAGGGAACGTCAATGTTCGGGTCTCCGTTGTTGGCTGTGTCTATCTGGTTGCACTTGCCAATGTTCTTCATTATGTTCAGGTTGATGCGTGCCGTTTCCATTAAACCGTTTTCCAGCAGCCAGCCGTCAGACTCAGAGTTCAGGTCGCCCTGCCTCAGCCCATTCTCCAGGGAGGTCTGGAGGTAACGAACCCCTGTCAACACTGACAGCTAAAACAAAACACACAGAGACAACATCACACTATGTGGACACAAATCGGGGTTCAAGAGGTCAAAACAAATAGTTGAGTTTGTCTGCATTTCTTCTTTATTTATTTTTAATTTAATGTATTAGTTTATTCCACACATGGCAGTTATTTGAAAACAAAACATGTACAGTTATACTGTTTTTCCCCCAAAAAATGTATAGGGCATGGTGGAAAGGAGCAGGGAGAAGAACATCTTATTTTACCTGCCCCTTCTTATAAAAAAAAAAAAAAAAGAAAATTAAATAACCATAAAAAAGTAAAATAAAAGCATTATTCTTTCAGTCATAGTTGCTTACAAATACTGGAACGTAAAACCAGAACACAATCAACTTCATACTGTCGAATTACGTTTTCTTTATACATTTTCTTAAACATACAAATGTTCTTTAAATCATTCTGCAAAGAATTACACTTCTTTACGCAAACTACAGAGACACACATCTGCTTTAAAGTAGTACGTGCAAACTGATGCTTCAAATTTAATTTCCTCCTATGATGCTATGCTATGCTATGATGATCTTTAGTTTCATGCAAACTAAAATTGCTTCACTTTCCGAACTGACCTTCCTCAAGTTAAGTCACTTGAGGCACACTGACACTGGAAACCGACCCTGATTGTAAAATAAGTATAGTTATGTCTTAAAGGTGGGGTAGGTAATTTTGGAGAAACCAGCTCGAGTGCGCTAGAATTTGAAAATACACAGCCGGAAAAAATCTGCCACTTACAGAGCCCCTCCTCCAACACACACGAACGCGCACATGACCAATGAGGGCACGAGATAAGTTTGTGCACAGATGGAAGGCTGACAGGCAGGTAGGCCATCCAGTTATTTTAGCCGGGCCGGCTAAAATGATTGGTCGTACTTTTTACAGCACCACGGCTTCCACAGATGACATTTTTTTATGGATTTTTTGTCAAAGCACTTAAGATATTCATTGCTATCGGGATGTTAAGAGCATTCCATGAAATATAACAAAAAGTGTATCTCGAGCCGGTTTCTCAAACTTACCTACCCCACCTTTAACTTCACTATTGCGTTATCACGTGTGTCTCCTCACCTCAAACAGCCAGGTGATGAGGACAGTGAGGCCAATGGACTGCACGATGTGGGTGTAGTACTCCAGCAGCGCCTGGCGACACCCTTTCATCCACAGGTTCAGCTCCTCCGTCTGGTGCTCGTAGTTGAAGTGAGCCGAGTTGTTGGAGATCTGCTGCTGGATGCAGGGCCGGGGGGAGTTGATGTTGCAGCAGCTGAAGGGGACCCCGTCCATCAGGTACTTCCCCCGCACATTACTTCTTAATCGGCTAGAAAGCAGGAGAAAAAAGGAGATTTTCTTAATGCTTTGAATGCATCTGTGTGTGAACCTCAGGTGTTTTATTGTTTGGGACCACATGGGAGGGTTAGGGTTTCAAAAGAGTCAACTAACTAATAGGATTTATATGCCAGTAATGACAAAACCATAGTACACATGGATATTAATGAATTTGAGTTTTATCTCTACCAATAGCCGTTCCCTACTCCACTTTATCCTGAATCATATCATCATTGGAAACAAAAGTTATTATGATTCAAGCTATTTAGTATCTTTTTACCAATTTCAGAAAGTGGCTAGAATATTCACAATTGGAAATGACTCATTTATTATGATTTTTTTTTCCAAGTTTAAATTAAGTCACATGCAAGTGTTTGATTCGTTAAATTGAAACAGATTATACTGGCATGTATTTTTGAGATATTTGGGGAAGGTTGGGTTCATACAGTCTCATTCACAGCGACTTAGATGTGATTATACTCTTGATATGATATCACTATCCTCAATCTGATATTAGTACTTACTCTAACACGTCTTTTTTGGACATATCCAGGTAACGGTTGCTGATCCACTGGATTTGAAACCAGTCCTTATAGCCGTTGTTCCCACAGCACTTGAACTCTATCTGCAGGAGGTCCACAGTTCTCTTCAGGAAGCATCGTCCTGGTGTGTCTGTGTCCTTGTAGAACCTGATGGCCTCCGTCAGCCCCAGGTTCAGAGACTCCTCCAGCTCCCCATGCATGCTGTAACACATCAGAGCCCCCACCAGCACGCAGAAGGTGAAGAAGAAGGTGCACATTATGTATGGCAGCAAGATGAGCTTCCAGCGCAAGAACTTGGTGGTGTCCACGCAGTCGTAGCAGATCTTCCCTCCCAAAAAGTTTATGGCACAGGCGATGAGGCCAACTGCGATCAGCATGTTGGGAACATACTGGATGTCCCTCTCAGCCATCAGCTCTACCCGCTTGTTGATCTCCACCTTGAGAAAGAGCCCCATGCTGAACAGGAGGATCCCTGTCACCACGGAGACCCAGTTCAGGATCCATAGCACCTGGGCCAGCTTGTCCCTCTTGTTCTTGCTGAACGTCAATTTTAAGAATGCCATTGTTTAAATCTCCTGTGTAAGTTTTCCTTTAAGTCCAGGGGAGGATTAAGGGTGGGACACAGGTTGAGCAGTGGAGAGGAGCGGGTTATCCTCCAGGGTGTGAGGGGGACCAAGGGGAGGGGGATTGGTGGTACAGTTCTCTGAAGGTCCTCTCATAAGCAGCTTAGCTTGGTTGTAATGATCGATATCATGTGGACGCTGCATTATGGTTACACTGTAGATCTCTGAAGGTCTGTGAGAGTACAGAAGTGAGAGTAGTACATCAAATAAATGTTCTTATATGACAGCAAAACATGTTTGATTTTAAAACAAGACAAAACACAATGACATGTGATCAGTTGTATGCAAGAAACATGTATGAAAACAATCTACAATCTATGTGAGACATACTGAGAAAAGTTCAATGAGATATCATTTGGTTTGAAACAGAAACAAACATAATTTCCTTTAAAAAACTGTTGTCCTGGCATTTGATACATTTTATTTATCGAGCGCTTTATCATTTATTTCTCGACAAAACTCCTAGAAAAAGAAATAACTGACACAGAATTCAAGACTGTGCCTACCTTATCCAGGTCAGCATTCACCTTGAATATCCAACATTATTCTCCTCTTGTTTTTGGTTTGTTTTCCTGAAGACATCCTCAGATTTAGTCCAGAGAGGCGACTACTGACACAGATAGTATGTAGGCAGCCGCCGGAGCATCAGAGTGAGACTAATAGCCAAGTCCTGACCCTCCTCCTAATCCCCTTTAATCATTAATCAGCCCTGTGGGCCCAAGAGGGATTTGGAGCTACCTTCTGCCACCTACGCAAATCTGTATGTCCCGGCATTGTGAAAGTAATGGAGGATGGCCATTGTGTCTGTGTGGGTGTGCTTGTATTTGTAGAAGTAGTAGTACCAGTCGTAGTAAAAAAGAGCAGTAATCCAATTTGACAATTTAAAAAGTGATATTTTAGTTCATCTGTGGTATCTAAAGCATTACATAAGTGCACATTTAAAAAAAAAAAAAAGTGAAGTTATTAATACAAGTACATTTATGTAAACAGAAATAACTACTGAGTGGCAGCTTACAGTTATTCAGAATGATTAATAAATCATTTTCTTGAATAATCATTGCAGCTCTACTTTAGAGGCATGTGTTTTGATGAAACATTTGGGGTTTTGCTGTTGCACACTTGTTGTGACATCACTGATTGGGGTGTGGCCAAAATGACAAATGCCTGGAAGATTAAAGCTGTAGATAGATCAGGGGATTTCCTTCCTGTGTTATTTAAGAAGTCCCTTTTCAAATGCTGCTATCATCTCACCCTTGCTGGCCCTAGCTATTCTGTTTCCAACTTTAAATGTAACACACACACACAACAGTAAACACTCACAGACGGACTGCCAATCAGCCAAGGAAATGTTAACTGAGAGTGAGATTAGTGGATTAACATGTACCAAAGTAGCTTGTGTAACAAGAGAACGTTACCGAAGCCCCCGAACCAGTCAGCTAATCTACAAGGTAGGCCGGACACATAACACTCAGAGTGTGCAGAGTAAAGAGAGTGAACCTTAACGGAGCTACCGGGAAGTACACCATGTTTCCAAGTAAGTACTGGGAATCCATCAAATCTTTAAATCATTTCTTTGTGTAAGTTGTTTAAGATCACCACTGTCACTTTTGTCTGTTATTGCACAATCCATTGATCTAATTATGGACACCTGAGAGAGGGCTTAAGTGCACAAGTTATTTACCTACTATGAGATACTTTAAGCACATTACAAAAGCTATGGTTAAAACAACTCTAGAAAAGAGTATGTCAAATGTTTAACCAGTTGTTTCTTCTCTGTAATGAACCATAGGTCTCAGGATTAGTTTTGCAGCAATGGTCCTATGATCCCAGCATGTGAACTCCCTGGTCTGTGAGTGGAGCCGGGGGTCTGAGGGCATCATGCTGGATACAGAGGGCCGGTGGTCCGAGGCGTTAGCCAGCAACAACATCAGAGCCATCATCCGCTGGCTGCGGGAGCTCACAGCTGAAGGTGCATCAGGAGCATCTGACTACCAGAACGTTTTAATGTCGTCCTCTACCTGCAGTAACACTTTACGAGTTATTGTTGTCTGTATTTCATCTCTTCACACCCTGCTGCAGGTGAGGCTGAGATGGAGGACATCCTACAGACCTTCAGCTGCTGGGTACAGAGGACATCAGAGTTTGCTAAGAAGGAGTTATTAACACTATGTAAGATGTTTCTCTATCAATCATAATCATAATAATAATACTAATAAATGATATTTATATAGCGCCTTTCAAGGGACCCTAGGTCGCTGTACATGGTGGACAAACAAAACAAACAGACAATCAAAGGGTACACAAAAAATAAAGGAAGCCGTTTAATCATATTTAAATGTTCAACATTTATTTTTCTTTAAAATCTCGTGTGTCTTCCCACAGGTTTCAGTCGTTGCAAGGGCCTGTGGATGTTCCTGGACCGCAGCACTTTCAGCAGAGTGCACATGCTGCTGCAGAGACTGAGGAATCTGCTCACCCTGGCTCAGTGGGCAAGGAAGCAGCTCGGTTCAGCCCACCTCTGGCATGGTACACACTCCAATACACACACAGCATACAGCAGCATGGTGGTTTGGTTGATATGTTTCACTGTAAATGTAGTCAACTTAATAGAATCAAATGTTCTTGTTTAGGTGTGGGCGTCCCATGTGTGGTCTGCAGGGATACATCTGGCTCCTCAGACGTCAGACGAGGCTGCTGGAACCGAGAGCACAGGGCCCTAAAGCAGCACATCTGGCTAGGACAGCTGGTACAGTGGTGGGGCATTATGGGACTTCTACCCAAGTACGCTGGTAAAGATATGATCACACACATTACATTACATTTAGGTGATAAATTGCTATCACGCCTCTAAAGGCTTTTCTGCTGTTTTTGTCAGAGGCTCAAGAGGTGAGGCGTATCTCCCAAATGTGGAAGGACATGGCTCAAAGTCAACGGAAAGCTTGTCTCGAGACACCTGGGTAACTCATGATTTGACTTAAAGTGGACCTATCATGCTATATTTGAATAATATAGTGTAGGACCATACCTATATAAGGCATATTTATACTTTTTTTTTTCAAAATGCCAAACAGATCATGCATTTTAGCCATGCCTCATTTTGCTCAATTTGACATTTTTTAGCTCTGTTTTTGCAAGGGCAGATTCAGTGAGAACAGCACCATCTACAGGCCTGGCATATGTACTACAGCGTCTCCAGCGCTTTCGAACGGCAATGGCCGTGGCTGTCTCCTCCTGATTGGTGGAGTTGGCCCAATAGCCGTAGTGCCACTGTCCTGACGTCAGGACAGTGTTCAAATCTGGATCAGTTTTCATCAGATCCGTTGCAGCCCCTTTTTTAGAGATTTGGGTATGGAGGAAAATAGAGAGGGTTGTGTTTTCTGACACTTGGTGAGCTCCCTGGAACACCGGGGACACATATTCATGTATAAAAGACGTACAAAAGTGCATTTTGCATGATAGGTCCCCTTTAAAGAAGGAGTTATGAGCCATTGTTATTATTTTATCTCCAGCTGAAGTTTCTCTCCTCCATTTTTTCTGCTTGTCTTTTTTGATTAGACGGAAAGAGGGAGAAATTGAAAGATTTAGGTCATTGATACAGGGTATAGTGACCCAGCTAGAGAGACAACATGGAAGCATTTGGGTTTCTGAAGACTTCACAGACCAGTGCTATCCCCCTCCTAATCTGCAGTCTCTGCTCAAGCTCGTGTTGGTGCCTCATATCGACAAGATGTCAGTCCAAGCGCTTGTATCCTTCCAAATATAGCATCAAGAAAGCCGAATGTACATTTGTTTTTCTTCAATTTTAGTCTGTTCTGCTTTATTTTAGACACATATTGTATACAGACAGTGTATTTGATTCAGGTCATATAGTTCTTAACCTACATGTGTCACAGCTCATGTACTTTGTCCTGGATACAGCCAACTTCCTGCAGTGCAGAGACGACCTTCTCCAATCTTTCTGCCACGCCTTCTCTATTCCTTTCTGCTTTTCCCAACAAATCAGGGCCTTCTGGATGCTTGATCATGGACAAATCAAGGTACATAACCAAAAAGCTACATTACAAAAGGGTTTCATACAAAAGATGAGTTACTGATCTGATTTTTGTTGACTGGGTCAGTTACCATCCTGTCGAATACATTAGCATCCTTGGTTTTGCACCCATAATGGTCAGCAGGTGTCACTAATGCACCACTTTAGTAGCTTGTATGATTATTGTAATGACGCTCCACTGGGCCAAGCATTATGGACAATATTGCAGTATACCTCTCTTTAGAAAGAGGGAAGGCTTTCATGGATGATGAGATGTGCCAGTTTATTTATCAAAAAACATGCGCAACGGAAATTGTTTTCTCATAGATGTTAAGAAACAACATTTTAAATGACAGTCTCTGCTACTTTATGTCATATACCATCCTGCCCAGGCCTCCATGGAGTTACTGCTGAGCCCCCGGGCTGCTGCTCCATGTCTCACATGGCAGCATCGCTGCATCATCCGCTGTCTGCTGACCAGGAAGCAGCCTCAGCTGGCGTTAAAGTACCTTCACTGGACCAGGCCTGCAATGGAGAGCGTCGAGGATGTGAAGCTATGTGCAGATGTGCTACTTCAAAACAGGTGCATTATGGTACACTGATGGCTATATCATTAGCTATTATCTTTTGTGTGTTTCTGACAATGTCTCTGCTCCCCAGTTGTGTCTCTGAAGCCTGGGCTCTGCTGAAGAGAGGCCACACAGAGAGCGATGAGGTGGTCCTGTACTTCCTCCAGGCATGTAATGGATTGGGTCTGTGTGCAGAAGCTTTACAGTGCATCCCTGCAGGATACAATGTAGGTGAATATCAATTTATACAGCAAATGCACCAAAGATATTTGGCCTTGAAATGACATATCTTCCCTTACATCGTTTAATCAGGGTGAGGGGGACATTGTAAATGGGACTACAGGGTTGCCACTGATAAAGAAAGGTATGCAGATAAACACATAGAAGTTTAAATGGATAGATTGAAGTGCAATACATTTAACAACTCGATTTTTTCCCTAATAGACATGTCAGCAGAAAGGCCACCCTGCCCGCTGTCTGCCAAACTGTATCAGGCTCAGAGCGTCAACACAGTCCTCCCAGAGGAACTAGTACGACTGCTCAGAAAGGCTGTGACGGAAGTGAGAACGCTACACCCCAAGATAAGGTACTGAGATGGCGTGTTGACATCACATATTGAATCACTTTAAAATATGTTTATTTGCATGGAGAACTCATTTCCCCATAATCTTTATTCCAGTGAGGTTGCGTCGCCGGAGCACAATGAGAGAAAATCGAACAGCAGAGAGATGTTTCTGTCGACCCAGGCTCTCCGTCATCTCACGCCCAGCCCCTCCCCACTGGACATGTTAGAAGAAACAGTTCAGACAGCACATACAGATGAAGCAGAAGAGAAACAGCCTGCCTCTAATGAATGCATTGTCAGTGGCCCTGAGATAAATGACCACAACAGTAGATAATTGATTTTGAGAATTAATGATCCTTGCCCTTTACATCTCTTCTTGTCCCAGCAGCAGCCTGAACCACCAGAGAGCATTTCTTCTTCTGAGGATCTGAGCTCTGAGAACATCTCCTCCTTCACCTCAGCATGCTCACTGCCTCTGTTGAGGCGGGACGGTCCTTACAAGTACAGAAGTACAGTGACTCTGCAGAGGATCTCCTCTCTCCTCACTGATGGAGAGAACCCAAGCAGCGAAGAGGAGGAAGAAGAAGAAAGCACAACGTCTTTGCCACATTGCCCTGAGATGACAGCAGATGGCGCCACAGACCCCATTTTTCTGCTCTACCACAACTTGAAAAAAGACGTTGTGGTTCTATCTTCCGAGGGTAAGCTTTAGAAAACATTTAACTTGCACTATATTCACTTCGAGAGACATTCATGAGATCAAAATAAACTCTTTCTCAGGGCAAGAGGATATTAAGACACATGTTTTATCCAGCGAGACCTCAGGACCTTCAATGGATGAGAACGTTCCTGTAAAAGAAAGGTCAGAGGTCATCTTATCCTGCAATATGCTTATGGTGCATTTAACACTGGCGAGTCAATGAAAGTGTTATATGTTTGCTTTGGTCAAGTTGCAGGTTGTATCTTCCTCCTGAGTTCCACAGCAATGAGGTCAGCCAATCAGGACCCTCGCTCTGTGAGTCTGCGGTGGAGGGTCACAGCTTCCTCTCACCTGACTATGGTGTGTACGTTTATCCAGCTGAAGCAACAAAAAATATATCCAGCTAAATTGTTCTTTACTGAATGTTCACATCACTGCATGAACATTTACCCGCAGAGAAAATGGCCGGCAGAGGAGAGGACATAGTTCATGGACCCCCAGATGTCACTGATCTGTGCAGCTCTGCGTTGTCACTCAACCAAGAGGACCAATCAGACTGCATGCCCTCACAGATGTTCAATTTTAGTGAAGCAGACATATCTGACTTTTTCATGGAAAAGGAAGTTAATCTGGTATGCAATAACTCTCTTTAATTTAAAAAACATACCGTAGATTGATTTTTACAATACCTTTTTACAAAATGGGGCTTTTCATGTGTATTCTTTTTCACTGTATGTGACCAGAAAACATATGAGCCTGACCAGCAAGAGGAAACAGCTGCATACTTCAATCAAGACCTCTCTTGGGCTCTGTCTGAAACCACTCAGGACCTTCTGACTGACCTTCACTCAGAGGATCCAGCAGCCACAGGCTCAGGGGACTTCTCCCTCCTCACCCCTGTGTGCAGCTCAATGTTCCCCTCACAGCTTCACTTCTCTGGTAGCTCTCTGACCCCCAGCATAATCTGCAACCTCATAACCACCTCTGCTCCTTCTGACAACACCAATGAGTGCTCCCTCCAAGCCCAATTACAGATGGATGTCAAGAGCACCTCAGCCTGGCTTGAACAATACAAAATGGGCCTTTGCTTGAAAGAAGATTTGGAAACACATAGAGCCTCCACTAGCCTTCTACCTACTAAAGCACCAGGAGCGACTTTTACATCAGGTAAAGCATTTTCAATTTTCTTTATACTTAGGAATAAACACTACTATTCATATACCACCATTTACAACCAAATGGTGTACACGGGTCTGTAAAGATAAGGAAACATGTTGTCTTTTTTAGAGCTTCTTATTTAACACGTGCTAATTGAATACCCCATTGACGTCCTTGCTAGCATTGGTCTAAGCATGAATAATTTGTGTTTGTGTTCTGGCGGGATGTAATTATATGTCAGAGGGGCCGCTGTTCACATCATGGTGCAGCACACAGGTACATGTAGCAGAGGCAGGGGGTCTGCGCTGTGAGGAGAGGGGGACTGGTGAGGAAGTGAAGTGTCAGAGATTGGTTCCCTTAACCTTGCTGAAGCAGTCAGTCATCCATAAAACAACCCCTTCAACCCCCTCCCCCACTCTTTCTATGGGGGGTGTATACCGTCTTCCACTGCAGGCAGACCTCCCTCCATCTGCCGCGTTGTGCTCATCACCTCAGGGGTCCACGGCCTATTGCCCCTCGCTGATGCCCCAACCTTGTCAGTGGGACAAGGGTTAAAGACATGAGAGTGGAGCAATGTTGCATACAATTAAAAGGATAGTGTCAAATAGGCAGCCTCTGGATCACAGATGAAGTCTGATGTTTCCAGCAATGGATCATTAGAACTGGTGAAGTATCATTAGGAACAAAGAGACCATTTTAATGTTATATAATTATATTCATGTTTTTGTTTCTGTTCATCCACAGAGGATAAGAGGCCTTCTTTTGTTCTGGGCCAACCATACTCCAACAGTCTGGTTAACTTCATGGACTTCACTGCAAAAAAGAAAGGCGACTGCAGCGATGGCAAACAGGTACTTTTCTTCTGATGATACATGCTGTACATGGAGGCTGCGGTGTGTTCATTATAAGGAGATGTAAGCCAGTGGGAACAGTAGGGGTCACTGTTGTTCCAGTTAAGGAGCCTGACAGCAGCTCTGATTTGGATGATCTCATTTCTGGTCCCTGGGGATTTTGCTCCATCACAACCCAGCAGGTGCCCTCTTTACTACCCTTCATCCCTCTTTCTCCTGTCCTCAAGCATTAACACCGCTGCTTTAAGATCCCAGCTTACAATGATGTCATTTTCCAAATGTGAAGGCTGTATTTGAGGGGATATGAATCAATTGTGTTGTTTCTTGAAGTGCAGACTTAAAAGAAACATTGAATTATTTGTCAAAAATATAATATCTGAAGCTGATGTCGTCACCTCTTCATATTGAATAATTATAATGCTGTGCATCGACTTGAACAAGCACTGTAACATCATTGCACAGATATGACCATGTAATTGTTTTACTGAAAGTTGATTGGATAATTGTTTGATTGGGATGCAGTCACCTAATTATTTTTGTTGAGATTTGGGGACCATATGGAGCTTGGCAGGTGAAACGTTTACGCCATGTTAATTAATGATGATTATACCTCAGGCCTGAGTAGCATACACTGTACAAACAGTGTGTGTTTATCACGGCCAATCTACTTTGGTTGTACAGTGCATGTTTGTAGTGAATGCATTACACCCATTAACTTGCACTCTCAGTGTGAGTGTGTTTCCAGGGGGTTGTGTTGAAAGCAGTGCTGCTCGTGTTATCTAATTGTTCATCCTGGCTTGAAATGATGCCGTGTAGGATTTGCTTAATTGGCAGATATTAATGACTAATGTGTGAAAATGAGTTTAGGACAAACCCTTACTGGCTGATCAAACCATCATCTATTTAATGGCATAGTGGCTAAAGATAAGAAAATCAGGATATTAAACATAGTAATTAGTGTTAGCTATAAATTCTGATCTCGTCTCGTATGACCTCATGCGTGACTGTTTATTATGATTGTTTTGGCAAACTTGTAAACGAGATATTCACCGTGTTCAAAACAAAGTAATCGATCAAATGGAAAAAGCTCACAAAGAGATCATACCCGCTTAAAAAGATATCACAGAGTGAAATATTATCGACTTTGCTGTCTTTATGAAAATACCAATATTTTCACAGACGGAGGCGGGGAGTAGTGTTGGATGATGTTGAAACGTTCAGGGTCCGAGGGGAGATGAATGGCCTCTATTAGGAGCATTTAATCAGTGCACCCATTCTCCTGCGCCCCCCTGGGGAAAGATTAATGGGTTCAGGATATTTCATCAGGCCATCCACATCACTGCCCAGGATATGAGGCTGTAATTGTGTCTGTTTTCTGCTTTTGTTTCGTGTTACAGGCAGACAAAGAGGAGCCCGCGGGTTGGAGCAGTTTGGGGAAAGCTTCACAAGGTGCCATAAGAAGTGGGAGAACGCTACGGAAAGGGAAACGAGTGAAGAGAGCGTGAAGACATAAAACACATCTAGTTTACACATGAACTGAATGGAATATATTTGCTAAGTCTATAACATTTGTATTGATTCAGATCAGATTCACATTGTAATGTAAGGATAAACTTGCACCAAATGAACTGACTGAAACCGACAGGCTTGGTGAGCACCGCATAGACTTTTCACCTTGAAGTGATCCGTCTCCCCTTCCTCATCAATCAGCGGGTCAGTATAATCTGACGGCTGTTGCTTCTGCTTCTATCAGCAACCTTTCCCACCCGCTGATATTGTCCTGCCACACCCTTTTCCCTCCACGGTGAAACCTCGTGTCAGAAACACTCATTAATGGATTTCTCAGGAATTATTGATAAACACAAACTATTAAATATTTAACTCATTAAAACTCCAATAAAAAAGAACAATGTTGGCTTATATTGTATATGTGTATTATCTGATCCCAAGGGTCCATGTTAGTCCATTTTAAACATAAATGCTCTTCACAAAAAATGCAGTGTGGTGTCCTTGAAAATAATTCTGCACTTAAGATTCTTGACTGTTTTTTTTCCTCTAGAAAAAAGGATGTTTGCTTTGCTGCCATTGCATCTCATGAAAAATGGATGACCTCCCAGTGCTTTCTGCTGCCCATCGCTCCCCGTATTTGCACATAGCCAAGGGACTGCATTTGGGTTAGCATCCTCTTCCTTCACTCCTTCCCTCCCACGTTAGCTTGTTCTGGGGGTGAATAACTTAACACATATTTCAGCTTGACACACTTGTGCTCTGCGTCTCCCCTGGGTGGCCAGTTCACGAGCCCACACATGCTGTATTATTTAAAAGTGTGGTTCGGAGTTCTGTGTGTGGATGTGCATGTAATCTCCTGTTTGTGTTAAGCAGGAATGCCTTATAGAGTTATTCTGATTTACTCTGTGACCTTGCAGGTGTGGCAACAGCTCTGATACCAGATGATGTCTGAAGTCTAGCCAGAACATTAGCATGGCAGCATAGTTATGGTTCACTCCATGTGCTCTGATTTTCTATTAGAAAAGGAGAGAATGCTGTGTTACAAGCAGTGTAATACATCAACAAAAAAAGGTCTAAACTGCAACTTGATGTATTATAAGGAAATAGTCATCTGGACAATTTGTCATATCAGAATAAAGATCTGCCAGAGAAAAATGCATAAGGAGCATGAAACATAAGTTACAATACCTAATGATGTCTAAAAGCAGACCTAGAGCACACGCGCACATAAGCACACGCAATGACTCAAGCTAATCTGAGAGCTGATAACATCATGGAAAAAAGAGAGCTGTGGAGCAGCAAAATGACACATAAATCATGTGTAAGGGAGAGCATGCAAAATGCGGCACTTTGTATGATGGATACAAATAACCATCTAATGTCTGGGAAGCTCTCATATAAATACTTGTCTTTGTGTATGTCTATGCACACAAATCATTCATGTTTGTTTTGGTGCGCACACTGAATGCATGCTAGTCTGTAAAGAAGCTGGTCACTTTGCTGCTTCCCTTTTATCTGAAGGTATTTTCATCCCATTGTGCAGTATCTGTGGACTACACCAAGGACATAATTGAGGTAAGAACATCAGACAGAGGGTTTGACTATGCAGGGGCCTTGCCCACTGGAGGGCACTGTGAGCGGCGGTGAGGCTGGGTGGTGGAGGGGGGGTGAGACACCTTGGCCAGCTCACCAGATGGGCTCAGTGAAGCGTGTCAGATGGCTGTGACAGCTACCTGCCCTTCCTTAAGGACTGTCACCATGTATAAACAAACCATTACTCTAATTTCTGAGTACAGTCTCTCTCTGTGTGTGTGTGTGTGTGTGTGTGTGTGTGTGTGTGTGTGTGTGTGTGTGTGTGTGTGTGTGTGTGTGTGTGTGTGTGTGTGTGTGTGTGTGTGTGTGTGTGTGTGTGTGTGTGTACAAGGGCATGATTGCACTGGACACCTTAAATAAACATATCTGAAAATGGTACGCTATGGCAATTTTTTCCAATCTTGAATTTTCTTTTAAATATAGGAGATAATTACCAAATATGTATGCTGAATTTTGGGTACATTATTAAAATGTTAAACAGCACACCCTATGTTTCTCATTGAAAACATTATAAACACTATATGATTTTTTAAATGGCATAATTTATTTAGGGACAAGGGGGTGAGATTAAGTTATACTTGTTCTCACTCCTTTTCGAACACTAGATGTGGGACTGTTTATGTAGCTAATGCTGTTGTTGTAAATGTCACTTCGTTTTGTTTTCTCAATCAATCAATCAATCAATCAATCAATCAATAATATACTATGACCTTTCTTATGACACATTATACTTTAACTTTTGAATGTCATGACAAACTGTACTATGACTTTTTCTTTATGACATTCTAGGATAAACTGTGTCATACTATTCCTAATTATGACTGTTTTAATGACATACTATATGACTTTTTGACATACTAAAATATAACTTTTTTTCATTGTATATTTTTACAATCTTTATCATAACTTACATTTTTTTTATTTTAGCCATACAATAATACGACTTATTGCATTATATTTTCGAAATACTATATTATGAGGTTTATCATGATATTTTCCACATTCTATAATTTGACTTTTTTCGGTATACTACCATGATTTTTCATCACCCTAACTATGACTTTTTCATGATATTTTCCATGTAGGCCTACTAAAATATACCTTTTTTGAACATACTATAATATGACTCTTTTCATGTTCTTTCAACATACTATAATATACTACCATGTCGTTTTTTCAACATACTGTACTGTGACTTTTTCATTATATTTTTGACAATACTATCATAGTATAGTATTGTCACTCTACACTGAAGTTGTGTATATGATATGATATTAAACATTTAGAATCTTTGAATTTAGAGTCATATAAGTGTTAAATATCTGTGTTAATGAGAGGACCAGTGAAGATCGCCACAGCTGGATGCAGATCAGATGTGGACCCCTGGAGGCCCCCCCAGCAGTCTGAGCGTCGGATGCTGCTCCGCTCATCGCTGCCTCCACTGCGCAGCCGCAGTTTCTCTTGGACGCAGAGAACAGCAGAGGCAGATAGAAAAATGGCCCTCGATAATTTAATTTTCGGGCAATGCATCCTTTATTTTTTTGCCTTCGTTTTCGGCTTCATCGCCGTGGTGCCTATGTCTGAAAACACGGAGGATTTCGGAGGAAAATGCCTGCTCTTCACACGGGGAATGTGGCAAAACGAGAACATCACGGTGTCGAAGCAGCGCTTCATCGTGGAGGAGTGGGGACCCGAGTCCTCGTGCAGCTTTATCACTTTTGTCGGGATATCGTCCCTCATAATGTCCGCAGTGCAGGCATGGAGGCTGCTCTTCTTACTGTGCAAAGGACACGATGAGTGAGTGACCGTTCACTTGTGCTCCGTCAACACAATTCAATACAGCACTATTAAAAGCTCAGGGCATGCTGCATCACATAGGGCTCAATGTAGATTGTAGAAGTGTTTTTATTTGGCCATCTCCCACGCCCTTCCATATGTGTTATTCTGGCACTGCGTGTAATGTAGGCTATGCTATGATGAATGCCATAGATAGAATGAGTATATAAAAAGGACTAGTCATTGTGGTCCTCCATTAAAAAGATGGAGGCAATACACTGTTGCCTTTGAAACATCTAAGTCACTGCCTACTGTGGCTAACATACAGTATTTGCAAGCTAGGTCATAATGTTCACGTCTGACTGGAAGGCATTATAACACAGATAACTAAATAAAGCCATGTGATAGACCTGATAAATGTAAACATAAATCAGGGGTTTCAGTTTTATCCTCTGTTCTACCTGTCTGCAGCTCCATCTTTAACGCATTCCTCAACCTGCTGATCAGCTCCCTGGTGGTGTTCACAGTCTTCCTGTCCAGCACCATCATCAGTGTTGGTTTCAACATGTGGTGTGACTCCGTCACAGAGGGTGGGACTATGCCCAGCAGGTAAGAGAGCAGTACACAAACTCAACGTTTCAGAACATTTCCTTTTACAATGCAGCGGTCGTCCTCAACACCAGCTTGTGTGTCATATTTTAGTTGTGAGGACCTGCAGGACACTGATCTAGAACTCGGCCTGGACAACTCAGCTTTCTACGACCAGTTTGCTATAGCTCAGGTAAGACTACGGTTAATATCCTTCAGGAAAGATAACCACATCCTGAATTCTAGTTATTTACGATGATTTCCTTCTGTCTCCAGTTCGGCCTGTGGGCTGCGTGGCTCACTTGGCTTGGGATCGCAGTGATGGCCTTCCTTAAGGTCTACCACAACTACAGACAAGAGGACCTTCTGGACAGCCTGATCCACGAGAAGGACCTTCTGCTGGGCCGCTCCTCTCGCCGCAACTCTGACCTCAAGAGCGGCCTGCTCTAGAAACCAGAGGACACACCAACACACACTCGCTCACACTCATCCGTGCAGTCCTCATGCCATGAGAAACACCAATGTTTGCCTCTGTAGACAATCAAATTGGCTTTCGCTCTCATTGATCATGAATTGAATCAAACCGGTTTTAGCTTTGTTCTCCAAAGGTAATTGATTTTCCCTCCAAAAATCTCCCAGTGGTGTTTAATCCTTGAGGAATTTAGCCTTATTGAGCTTATTCGTCCAGTGCTTGCATTCCTCTTCAACACAAACAACCATAGTTCAGCCCCCACAGTATTCAGCCCATATAATGGAAATTCCAGTACTTCCAGTTTTTTCTATTTAGCAACCCATTATTAATGGCTGGACTGATTGGCCAGTGGATCATGTTGTCTTTGTGAAAGTTCTGCATGGACCAAATGCATGACAAATTAATAGGGTGGTGGTTTTTAGATGTAGAGGGTTGTTATTTTTGTTTTATACACCAATAAATGTATTCCTAAGGAAGGATTTTATCTGGTAGGATGTGCAATGAATCTCAATGAAGAAGTCTTTGCATGCGGCAGCAAAGTAAAAGGATATGTGCTGTAGCAACGTATTCAAACCTTTATCAGCAGTGACAAAAGGTGTTTCATAAAATGACAAATTGTAGTTCAGTACATTTAGGTATGGGGCAGCCGGTCCAAAAATGCTTTTAGCAATCTATGTGAGATAAAAATCACATTTGTGCCATATAGTAACTCGGGCCTCTTCTTCACACTTTATAGGCTACAAACCAATATACTGTGTTACTGTGAGTAGACGCACAAATGTACCCGCATGCATCTTTCTCCCTTTTACATACACATCACGCACTTACTTGTTGGCAGGGATAACAGGAAGAAAGCACATCACCTGCTTGACCTTGATAGGCAATGACAGTTTTATTCAAAACAAGTGAAATCATAAAACGGTAGGAACCAAGAAAACCCTCCATAAAGGCACTTCTTTCAAAGTGACCATAAACATGTAGACAGCCATGAAATGCTGCTTCTAAGCTAAATGTGCATATGCAGGACATGTGTTTACTGGATAGCCTATTTTATTGCTATTGACAATTGAGTCTGACAGTACGGAGTTGAGAGTGTTTGTTTCTTCTATACAGGCGTTATTAGCCTAATATTGCTTTGACATTCAAATGTGAAACCTCCAAAATCCGATGCTTTTCTTCCAAACCCTGAAACCTGTTATATAAAGCGACATGTTTTACTGGAAACTGTGAGATGTGTGTTATTGCTCATAATGAGGTCTGATGTGCATCACTGTGCCCTTCTATCATGTGGCTTGTGTGGCTTGAATTTGGGGACAATAACATACAGAATCTGATTCTGCTATATTTCTGTGTTTAGCCTCTTATTAGTATTAAAGAAATTAAATATATTGATTTTAAATGTTTTGAAAACATGTGTCTAACCATGTATTTCTCCAAAGCTTGGTGAGCATTTGACATCACGGTTAAAACCTGAATACCAGTGTTTTAAATAGAAATGCAATAGGTAACAAAAAGTAAAAAAAAGTAAAGATTATTGAAAGTTGGATATAAGTGTAGATGCAGATATACAGTATAGAAGAATAAATAACATTTAGGATCAAGGGTAATTTGTTGGATTAAAGCGGTTATAAAGAGGAACACTGTTAAAAGCATTATTATTCATTCAGTTTGAGTATACTCTCTTCAACGATAGATAAGGAGAGAGAATCATAACATTGTGCTGCAGATTTTCTCTTCAGTGGAGCTGAAGACAGTCAGTCATACAGGACAGCAGACAGTCTGTAAAGGAGGCGTTTTCCCTCTATTAGACATTCAACCTGGTGCTGTGAAATGATGAAGCCCTGTGTTCCATTCTCACAGATCATTATCCAACAGTTCACACATCTGTGTCCATCCTCGTCCTCCTGCAAAAGTGCCACTCAAAGCTGTTTCCAAACATGTCTACATTCTTTTATGTGCAATTACAAGGCTGAATAATGTGATAGTCCTTAGTATATTGATCCATATATACACACATTCAGTTCTGTGTTATATCTGATATACAAATATGGTGTATTGTAACAAAATACAAATGTGCATTCCATGGAAACATTCACTCACCTATAATAGACTGTGACTCAAACTGAGAGATCGAATGGTTTTGGGTGACTGTATATGTGAGCATCAACATTGCAGATGTTCAAAACCATATGCTAAATAAGGAGTGGCGTGCCCACCACCTTAGCACATATGTACATACAGACATGGAAGCTACATATTTCTGGGATTACATTTTCCCCCTTTGTCACTGACAGCGTTCAGAGCCTTGCAAAAAAAGGCTGAGGTGTTTGTAGGCCCGGGCTCCTTCAGAGATAGGAAAAAAGAGGGTCTGAAAAAATTAAAGGGGGCTCGATGTCGCCACCTGTGGTCGGTCTCAGTCACTGCATAGTCAGCCATATCCAGCAGCCCCACAGCAGCTGCTTCATGTGCAGCAGGTAGACAGCCAGCACGGCCTCCAGCTCCTCACACACTCTCTGAGGGCGCCGGCGGTCTGTGCAGTACATGGCCACGCCCAGGCAGGACATCAGCAGGAAGAGGCAGGTGAACAGGGCGAGGTGGGGGCGGGACGCTGTCGTCTCATAGGCTACAACAACAAAAAGTACAATTTTGATTTGTAAATGAGCATTTGAATTGCCAGATGCACAGAACCCTCTTATTCCTGTTTACCTAACACATTGTAGACCTCAAGAGGGGACGTTTTTAATGGATGATATAATGTGACTAGGGTGTAGTGGAGGCCTTGTCACACAAACTGGTGCTCAATGTGTTTCAAACATTGTTTAGGGGGAAAGTCAAACGTTAATCATAAGTGACATTTGATTTACACCCATTACCTAACAACTTAAATCCCTTTTTCACACATACATATACTCATATTTAGTTGACTTCTTCTTTACATAAAAAGTGTGCGGTTGCCATTTTGTCATGCACGTTAACATAGTTAATCTTCACATTTTCAGACAAACTTACCCCCTACGGAGTAACAGTAAGGTATTTCTGTGAAGCCGAGAGAGAAGAGGCCAGTCAGTCAGTCAACAGGAGCTAACCTCTGGGATGAACACCAGCTGCTGAGCCCTCGCAGACTCTCCTATCTCTCTGGAGCAGACTCCAAGGTGCCTCATTTGCATGCATAATTAATTACCAAGAGTAAATCACTTGCTCATGTTTGGGGGTCTTACAGCATTACGTTATTTTTATATGGTACATAATCCCCAAAGGACAATAGTTTACGATGCAATCTCAGGATGTTGGAAATCATTTTGTCCTTTCTTTTTTCAGTGAAGGGCATACACTACTGTTGCACTTTGATTGAGGGCTCCTCTGTACGCTTTAAAAAAAAAAAATTAAACAATATGATTCCCATTTTTATTGTAACTGTATAAATGCATTTACTAGCTGACAAGGCCAGGCTGAAGGAAGTAAAGGTGAAAATAAGTCACTGGAATAGTTTGGTTGAGGTATAAAAGCAGCAGAGGGCAGCATCTGTTCCGTTGGACTGTTTACTTGTGATTTCACTCACCATGTACTGTGGTCTCTGGCTCCCTGAATCGGACCCTCCGCTCGCCTTTCCGTCTGTGGTTTGGTTCAGTGTCTGACCCGTAGCTGGGACACGGCCTCTTTAGAATGGAGGTGGGCACTTTGCCATTGGTGACCTGCATCAGATACACCTGAGGATGAGTATACCCGTTGCAAACTCCTGATACATTTCAAAGATCGGCATCAAACAGCTGGAAGGAACACATCTTGTACAAACAACCCAGAGTCACACTGCTGAAAATGGCTGCTCGTTACATTACCTTAAGTGTCGGTGCGTCCTCCTGTTGGTGGTGCGTGTCCTTCCTCTGGCGGACCTCTGAGTGTTTCTCCCGGTGGGAATGAGGAGTACAGTTGACGGTGTCTCTGATGGACTCTGCAGCAGCGAAGCGTTTGGACAGTGCAGACACACACTGACCCAGGGAGTCTAGCAAGAGAGTCATGACCACACAGTACAGCAGTAGTGAGCTAGGTCTGCTTCACACAGGAGTCTGCAGCCTGCTCTTAAGCCAGACTGTGAGGCGGGGTAAAACATACAAAAGTAAATATGCAAATGTGTCTTAGAAAAGACGGCAGGTAACTTTATCAGTGCCAGACGGAGAGCAGCTTAGTACTTTCTAGTTATAAACATGAGGCAAAGGCCTTGAACTCATCAGAAGCGATGTACTTCCCAAAAGGTAAAAAGAAGGTAAAAATGATCCTCCGTCTCAATAATCCTGAATTGTTTTGTCTGGCAGTTTCTCATTTCCCCACTAATTATTTTGTCTGTCAACTCTAGCTGATGAATCACTTTCATGACTTAATCAACTGTTAAGTCAATCTATTACGATGAAATATTTTCAAGTGAATAGCTTCTATGGAGAAGGGTTCATTGACAGAGAGAGACACAGACAGATAGGCCTTTAAGTACAGTACGTTTATATTTTTTGTATAAAAGAATGAAACAAGCGTAAACTTTGTTTTATATGTAAGAAAATACAGAAAGATGCCAACAAAAGTAAACAGCACCACCCTTCAGACTGCATATATTGATAATCATAATAAAACGTACACATGTTAAAGGTGGGGTAGGTAATTTTGGAGAAACCAGCTCGAGTGCGCTAGAATTTGAAAATACACAGCCGGAAAAAATCTGCCACTTCCTTACAGAGCCCCTCCTCCAACACACACGAACGCGCACATGACCAATGAGGGCACGAGGTACGTTTGTGCACAGATGGAAGGCTGACAGGCAGGTAGGCCATCCAGTTATTTTAGCCGGGCCGGCTAAAATGATTGGTCGTACTCTTTACAGTATTACGGCTTCCACAGATGATATTTTTTAATGAATTTTTTGTCAAAGCACTTAAGATATTCATTGCTATCGGGATGTTAAGAGCATTCCATGGAATATAACAAAAAGTGTATCTCGAGCCGGTTTCTCAAACTTACCTACCCCACCTTTAATATGCGCTTCCAAAAAGGTATTATAATTGACACTCAATTTCCCACTTTTGTAAAGTAAAGTGGGCCATATTTAGGGTAGGTAAACATCCTTTATAAGAGACTGTATGCAAATCATTAGGGTGGTAGGAGGGGGTCAAGAATGATACAGGGCTATGTATTTTGTGACATACAGTATATATATATATATTTGTGTGTGTGTGTGTGTGTGTGTGAGGGCCTTGCTTTAAATAGAGTGAAACAAAAACCTTAACAATTTTCAATCTCTTAGGTAGTTAGCAGTTTGGCTAATCACTCATCACAGTTTCAAAGCGCTACCACATAGTGCTACACAACAGCTGACATAATATTTGTACTTATATAAATAGTTTTTTAGCTGAGGGAGGGGGAATGACCCACTTTACACTGAACAGTGTCCAAGGGACAAATGCGGCAACCACTTAAACATGCCCCGGTTCAATCCTCTTACAGTGGGCGGGTCAAAGAGGATTTCTCTGTGTACAATACAAAGTAAAAGGTTGCATAAAGTACACAGAGACCTCTGTGTGTGCTGATCTGCAACAACAACTACATCTGACCCGGCACTCTCACCATCTCACCAAACACATTTATGATGATCTGAGGTGAACAAGGAGTGTTATAAATCTTTGTCTTTATATGCTGTACACTCCTGTCCTGCTGTTCAGCACCACCGCCTCTGAAAGCTGACTCGACAGCAAGGCTGGTTTGTGCATATTACTTTTTCACACCGCAGCAGTCTTCCCAAAAACGCAGAGTTCAGAGAGTGTTGCTCTCTCTTAAAGCAAGCCAAGCATACACACTGTACAACACAACTGTGCCCTCAAACTGCCACAAAGCTACTGTCTTCTGCATAAAAGCACTTTTGTGTCCGACATGACTTTGTGTGTTTATTCATTTAACATTTTCACGAGTTGACATGGTTAAAAGGGTAACTGAATTGCATCCAACCCTGTGCTGTTTGCTCTCTAACGCAGAGAGGAGATAACTTGTTCTTGAGGTCAACTTGACTGTTCTGGTTTTGTAATGTCTCACGAGACGCAGGGATCCACCCTCAGACTGAATGTTAAATATGCACTGTGGAGAGAGATGTCCTCCACTCTTTGTGAAAAACATACAACCATGTTTGCCTTTCCCTGTTAACATTGTGTCAGGATCATAGGCCAGGATTAACTGTGCCTCTCGTGCCAATCATCCCATGTGAGTGTTTACCTGAATATTCAGTCTTGCCGATTTCTGCATAGACGGTGGCCATTAGCTCCAGGCTCCTGGCTGTAATGGGGTGGTCATTACCAAAAGCCCTCTGGTGGATCTTTGCAGCCTGAAACATTCATAAAGAGATAGCAGGGATTTGAATTCTACACAAAGAGTGCTATAAAATATTTAATCTGCTCAGAAATGGAGAAATGAAGCAGAGAGAATGATGGACATACCTTACCGCTGTATTCTAAAGCGAGATGAGGTCTGAAAGGAAAAGGAATCCATTAAACAAATAGACTACTTTCTTTTGGTGGCACTGGTGTTCAATATTTTATACCTACTAAAAACACAAGACGTGTCTTAAAAATGGCACTGAATCATCAGATGACCTCTGCACATTCTTCTTCCATTTAAACACAAATCTATTCAAAGAAAACAACAACAGCAGTGCGTGACCTTAATAAAGTCTAGTGGCCCGTGCTGCTTTGCCAGGTGAGCGTATCAGTTTCAGCAGCATGACAAATCTAAACATCTGCGAGCTGTGATTAGACACGGAGCGCAGGGCTGCAGGTGCCCAGGCGCCTCCGGCAGGAAGTGGAAACCTTCTATTTCTGCCAGTACTGACGGCCCCTTTCTATTCTCCAGTGTGAGTTTCAGAAGGCATGGCGCTTACGGGTTTGTTTACTGACTTGTGCCCTTTCACTACTCTTGTGCTTGGTGCTAAGCTGATGAACATGATGTGGTACATTGAGAATCTGCCAGCTGTTCCACTCATATCTGCCATGGAAAGTCAGCCAAGGACATTCATCACCCTCACGTCACAACCTATAGACGTAGAGCAAGCTCTGTTTAGTGTGACAGATGTCAGCTTCGCTGCTCCAAACCCACACTTTCCTTCAATTAGTAATAGCCAGGTGTCAGTTTGCACTTCTTCAGAACGTCCTTTTCAGGAGACATCTGATCAGCGACGACAGAAACGCCCTTTGCCGGCCAAAAGGACTTCCTAAGACATTGCTGAAAGATTCATTACAACTTCCTGTCTGCACACAAAAAAAAGATTGGGACTGAGGTTTATGATGATAGTAGTAAAACATAACGACTATTTCCCCTCTTGGAAAAACCAAAGCTGGTTAGATTTATTTTATGTTACTCATTTTGTACAACTTTTATAATCCCCAAAGGGCAAGTCTGCAAGAAAAGATGAAAGAGTAAAATCCAATAGCTTGTTATGCTTTTGCCAGAAACCAAAGCCTCTGGGTACAGCCATGCACAATCAGTACAATCTCATGTAAGTTTAATTACTGTATGTCCCTTTCATTAATGAAGCAGCGTGACCGGCCCTCCGTTGAGCAGCCCTTCCACCCTCTGTCACCCTCTCTGGCCGTTAGGTTAAATGGCCTAATTCCAACAATGACAACAGAGGCTCAGAAAATGGGTGCATGCTACGGCCTAACAAAGTACCCCTGCAACAGGAGACACCAGATCCAGTTTAGCTATTTCTTCTGTAACACTCAGTTAGAGTGCGGTGTCTCTTTTCTCCATCTACAGGGAAATTCAACTCTAGCTAAAAAAGACCTTGAGACGGAGTTTATCTAGTTTGAGAAATGTCCATACGAGAGAGGTGAATGCGCATACATGGAAATTCGGGACACACACGACAGATAACTGCGATCAAAGATAAGTGATACATTCATTAAAGGGGCTTTGTTAAACTGCCAAACAAATTTACCCTAGTGACCCAAATATTTGTTTTACTGTCATTCTGTAAATTATTTATTTTAAGATTATTTCAGCACGCTGTAGCTTTGCTCAGGGTTAGACTTTATAAACAAATGGGCTTTTTATTGCCGCTGCTTCTTCCGTTATAAAACAAATGCAAATATTTGTTACTACTGAATCAGCACTATAAAGTAATGAATGTTCCAATTCAACTCACACACATGTTTATATATATATATAAAAAATATATATATATGCTGTATTTTAACAGTATAGAACTGGTAGTAAAACAGTCATAAAAGTGAATTTATTTCACTATAAATTCTCTCCTGATGAGCCCCCTGAGTCCTTAAACTCACAGAACATGTAACGCCTCATTAATTGCGCCACAGAAGCTGCAGCAGGACACAGTTTTACCTACTGTTTGCTCATGATGCAGAGCTGGGCCAGCCGTTCGAGGTGCTGAGCCTGGGAGGCCTGCTCCGACAGCTCCTCTGGGGTCGTCCATCCTGCAGAGCCCAGTGTAGCCTCCTCCTGAGGCCCTGTTACACAAACACAGGGCATGGAGTCACCGTTTGCCCGCCAGCTAAACACTTAGTCTTTCCCTCTGCTCCTTACACTATCAATCCCTCTCTCCTAGCTGTCCTGTGATCTCTTTACTCCTCTCACACGGCACAGAATTAAGAGAACAATGCCCAAAAGGCCTGGCTATCAGCCTGTCTGGCACTGCTGTGGACTCTAAGCCTGAACAGCAGAGTGGAGCCAAACTGAGGACTGGAGACAAGAGTGCAGAGATAAGGGCAGGAGAGAGCAGATACGGGAGTCAAACAACAGTCACCACGCCCACTAGAACACTGAGACACACGCAGGCACACGGTGACACACTACAAACATACAGCATGTGTACTGTACACACTCACAATAATGGAGGTGGAAATGAGTTTGGCGTGTAATCCTTGCAAAAAGGAAGTGCAAATGAATCATTGTAACTGGTAAGGTTTGTTTGCATTACAAAACTACAATTATGTGAGCGGTCAGTGGGGATACAGAGAAGGGTTCATAGGAGATAGAAAACAGTGAGAGGAAGAGAGATTGTTAGATGCAGCCGTAGTGCCAGTGCCTCTGGACATACAGAATTCAATCCAAGTGAGTGCTGAATCAAGGCTTTCAGTATTCCACAGCAACACACAGCAACTAATGAGATGTGTGGCCATTTGTCTTCTGCAATGTCTTTCCCGTTCCCCTCCACTGTGCTCACGCTACACTGCGCTGCTTCCTCAGCTGCAGACAGAGAGAGAGCAGACGTCTGGAGCAGCAGCTGATGAATGAGCGGCCTCGCTGTGAATGTCCGCTTAAAGCTACACCATGTATATTGTAAACAAAGATGGACTTGGGCAGGAAGAGGATGTCATTTCATATTGGCTTTATGAGTTAACAGAATATATTTGTGAGCTGTTGAAGAGGCACACTGTGTAATAGGCTATACATTATATTTGGGTCAGTTTGTTTGGAGAGCTGCCCACAAAAAAGAAGACTGTCAGCCAATGAACAGCCTCAGTGCATCTGCTGATCTGCTAACAGCCTCAAAATTAAAATAAATATTTCATGTTATTTTCAAATAAATTATATTCATTAGGAACGTTTGTGATTGGGTGTTATAATAGTGACTTAGTGTTTACATGAGTAATACGTTGACATTAATGGTGTTACATTAAAAGCTTAAACCATCCTTAAAATCAAGTTAAACACAAGTACATATGAATTCACAATTCTTAAACCTACTTCTTCAACACTAAATGATATACGTGCCTGTTGCCACATCTTTACACATTCAGCTCATCTGATGTGCACTGACCAAAAAGGATCTAGGTTACACTATAGCTTAACATTACATTTGAATCAAATCATTAATACAAAATTAACACTATTACTAGTTTACCTATAATCATGTATTTCATATGAAACTTCCTAGAAGGCTATAAAGAAAACAAAGCATTACCAACACAAAAGTAGATAATTTAACCAAGGCTGCATGATATGGTAGTATATTACATTCAACGCTGTATGTGGACCTACAGTATTCATCGACATCTTCCTGTCAAAAGTACTTGCCTGTGCTCCCCTGAAGAGCCGTGAGCTCGATCAATGCCACCTCATAGAACATTTTCTCCGCCTGGATGAACTGCAGGGCCTTCTCATCTGTTCTTAAAGGTGAAGGATAAGTCATGGATGTCAATAGATTTTAGTCGGTTATTGCAGTTAAACCCAGCCAAGCTCCATGCTGTTTTTTCACCCCTCGAGACAAACAGAATGTGGAGTAACCAAGAGCTGGTGTTTGTGGTTTTTGTAGTGATTTGAAGTGGATGCATATCAAGTTTCAAATGTTAAATCTCATACTGTAGTTGTATCTGATTACATCCCTTTGTATCATATCATATTATCCTTCTATTTCAGTGTCTTTTGAATTGGTGTTTTGTACAGAATCCTCTTGATTGATCTGAATGCCACTTTTTGTTTCCACTCTCTATAAAAGCGTCCTAAAAATAGAGCCTCTTCACTTTATCAAAGCATTCTGCGTACTGAGAGTCCGTCCCTCTGTAAAATGACACCACCGATGCTTGTCAGGTGAATTTAAAGACCAATGAGAAGGAGAATGCTTCAAATAAACAAAGCCCTGCCTGTATAAACGTCCTACTTAGCACCAGATCTCCTGAGGGAAAAACACTATAAATTACATTCTAGGTGTTTAACTTTCACACTATTTGCCAATTATACATCAATATAAAGTACTCTTATATTGAGATAGGAAAGATAGACATTATGTTTCTACTTTTAAAGGTTAGAAATTCTTAAAGGTGAAAAGAACAACACTGGTTTACTTTATTTTGGCACCTGGAGAATAATGGCACACAACTGAACCAAAACAACAGGAACAAGATCCAACAGGAGAACTGAGGCAAAGTGCAGTTACCTACTCTAGATATGCTCCCCATTCAAAGGAAAGGACAGTTATCAAAAGGAAAGATTGTTTTGCATCTGATTATACCAGAAAAGTTGATGGATGGTGAAAAGTTTACTGAACATTACAGTAAAGATGATATTCCAACCTGTATGAAAACCTAGCATTTTTGGAAATAAAGTGAAACTCCTTTTTGCATACAATACTACACTTTTGTTATGGTTTTAAGCAAATCCTGATATATAACACAGGATAATAGGTGATGCATTGTACTTGCCCCAGTTCCTGCGATCACCTGGCTTCAGGCAATAATGTGAGTGTGAAGTGGACCATCTGGGAGGGAGGATTAGGGGAGCAGCCATCATCAAAGGTCAGTCTACTACTTCTGCCTCCTATTTTTAGCCTGACTGGACCACAACAGAGACCTCACACTATCCTCTCCGGGGAATATGTGCTCCACCAAATGCACGTACACACACACAACCTCCCCTGAGCTGGTAATTGGACTGCACTCCAAAACCCGACAAGAACTTGCATCAGCATTGGCATCTCTAAAGGCACATCTCATCACACGTGCAGCACTGCTCTGCTAATGGTGCACTGAGATGAAGCACAATATCATCTCTAGCCAGAAGAGTTATAGATCACAGGATCAAGTGTGACTGACTGTGATACTACTATATTGATTAGCAGATTTTAATCTGATACACCCCTCTATCTGAGATTAAATTCTAATTGCTAGGTTGGCTTCCTAAGAAACGCATATCAGTAAACACTCAGCAGCCAAAAGAGCTTTTGGCTTCAGACAAAGGTCACTTGTAGATACTGCCAGCTCTGATAATGATACATCAAGCCACACATATATACATTGAGTTTGTTTCCTAATTTGGAAGATTAGTTTGACCCCACAGACAAAATGTAAGGCGACACGGTACATCCTGTTGTCGTAGACATTTGTGTGAAACTCTAAAGTTCACATATCTTCACTGTTTGAGCACACTGACCCTTCACCTCCTTCCCCAGAGGACCATTTCAAAAGCACACAACATCCCCGCTGCAGTTACTTTGATGCCAAAGAAAACTACTGAAAATAAGTTAAAGTTGAAAATGATTACATACTTTCAATCACTGCACACACTGGTGTTATCAATATAATTAGATGTAGTTCTTACTGTTTCATGCTATTGGAAATATCATATTGTAGTACTTAAAATACTTTTTGGGTTTCAATTATTTAGATTTGGTCCGCTCTGCTGCTGACCTACTTAATGAATAATATAATTCTATTTCCTGGCTGTTACCTTTCACTAAAAGTAAAAACCATGTAACAAAGTAACTCTGACATTCATAAAACGCCACAGTTTGAAACCATTACTATTGATGATGCTACATAATAAATGACTGTATGTCAAAAGATTTAACCCTGTCATGGTAGATAACTCTCTTAAGTACCATTATGTGCGGGGCCTACTGATGGCTATTGATGAAGTAAAGCTCAGCAAATCGAGCTATTTTGGAAAATGGACAGTAAGGGGTAGATGCATGCTGAGGTAGATAACCTGAGCTGGCAAGTTAAGTGTTGGAGTGTCTCAATAACCGGGAGAAGAGTCATGGAGGTAATATATACTGACACGTAACACCCCTCTATTATCTCCATGTCCTATTCTATTATAGTTTATAGGAGCAGTGAGTTGTGATGAAGAGAACGGAAACAGGTTAATTAGTGCTCTTCCACTCTGTTGTGCAGAGATAAGAGCGTACAAATCCTCTTAAGAGACAGACACACAGCCTGAGCTGCACACAAAACATAAGGCATTCTGGGACAAATGTGTAAGTATGACCTCACACACAGGCATCCATTTATACCCCTCAGTTTATACTGCTTTCTCTAAAAAGGGGCTACATCCTCCATTGTGCTGGAATTTTCCACGCCTCCCACCAAAGACAATCCTTTACATGTCCACCTCACAACAAGGAAATGTTAGCTGTGTAGTTAGCCTGCTTGCTAACACTTACGGTCCTTGTGAAAGTAAAAGTGTATGATGTGGTGAGAGTCTTTCCCTGAGTAAAGGATACAGTTCTTTTCAGTGATGAAGAGTTCTGCGATCTGTAAAGACCAGACAATGGACATGGTTAATTATCAAGTTACAACATCATTCCTGCTTGTGTGCGTGTGTGGTGTCATGTGCTGTCATAACGAGTAATCCTTCTTTTCTGCACAGCACTGATCAACATGGTGAAACACATTCCAAAGTTCTGGTTTAGAGGCTTTGTTTTGACATGAGGGACATTCCTTCAAGCATTACTAAACAGAATTAAAATCGTAACCTTGCCTTACAAAGGACCCCAGTGTGTAATCTGCTAAATCTTTGGCCTGGATACAGAGTGCTACAAAGCCTGTGAACCAAAAATAGCAAAACATAGCCCACACAAAATGGGACATTAACTAGGCACTGTAGTATTTTTAACAATGTGAGCAGTCAAACCACACTGTTACTGTATATGAGTGCGGCGTCCTATACCTCATTTAGCAGCATGCACACTATTAGCTCTAGTAAATGCTCTCACAGTGTCAACACAGAGACACATGACGGACTGTGCTGTTAAATTTGACATTGGTGTTGGTGAAATCAAGGTTGAATGTCTCCTGTGTGTCATGGTGTGGGATAATTTATGATGCTTGACAGCAGAAGTGGTGCAAATGTGTCTATACAGCTGTGTAAAAAGCTGATACAGTAGATTAGTGAATGCATGTAATGAACACACAAGTTGGTGGGTGTAAGACAAAGAAAGGGACAGAGTGACACAAATGTTATGAGTGTATTTGGTGTGGAGTCTTCAGTCTTCTTGCTCACCTGGTGTAGGCAGTTGGGCAGAGAGTTGAAGCTCTGCACATGGGTCAGTCCCAACAGGCAGCTGAGGAAGCAGTGGAGGGCAGCCTGAGACTCTCCCTGCTGCTGGAGCTGCTGTCCCAGCTCAAACAGGCCCTCCCTCCCCCCGGTCAGCATCCCCAGTCCCAGCCAGAGCCAGCAGCGCCTCCCATCAGAGCTCCACCGGCCGAGGACAGACGTTCCTCTCTCTCCCCGCCACTCCACTGAAGCACCACAGGTAGAAAGAAACAGAGTGAAATATTTTTTTTAAATGTAGCTGCTCACATGAACACAGACGGGGAGAAAGCAGAGGGAGGAGTGAGCAGCACAGCTTCCTCTCGGTCTCGTCGGAGCTCAGGAAGTCAAGGACAGGTGGTGAGGAGCAGGCTGAAGGAGCTCCGGCAGCTCACACAGAAAATATCCATTCCCCTCCCTCCTCCCAGGCTGCACCAGGAAAGGAGGACAGAGGAAGTCGGGAAGCATTTGCTGTTTGAGTGACAGAGCTATGGACCAATCCCTGCTCTGCTCATGTACAGTAGCTCTGCCAGCATGTGTTTCTCATTTGGTCTCTCTCCAATCCTGGTAAATGGAAATTACACAGCTGTAGGTATTGATAAAAACAAATATAGTGTAGACATGTTCTGAGACTAAATCCAGTTTGTTGACCTAATTTCCCCTGGATTAACAGAACAGTGCATTATGTATATCTACAGTGTGTGAGAGAATCCCTTTAAGTCTTACTGCCCTACTTATGATTTATAAATGAGTGCATGGAAACTATGCACCAACAAGCAAAACAGAATAAATGCTTTGCGAGCACGTTTCACATCACCTCAGAATGAAGCAAGCTTTTGTAAATTCTCTGAAGCAAACCAGACAGCAAATCTATGCAAACACAGGGTCATTAGGAACAGCCACTGTATGAGAGAGAAAGAAAGAGAGAGCACTCCTCCCTATCCAAACAAGGGAAACAAATATTTATCCAGAAGGAGTGCCTCCTCTGAATGTGTGCACACTTCCCTTCACACTCTGCTAATCAACATTAATGTAAGGCCAATCTGTGCCTGGGGAGAGCGAGGCAAAAGATAAGAGATACGACTTCAGCTCTTGATCCACGGATGATCCAGAGGATCATGAATGAGTCTCGACTTTGAGAGCAGCAATCTTCCCCACCCTCGCTCTATTTGGACACAAGTGTGGTAGCTGCAAGAAATGAATGGGGCAACGCAGAGCAAATGGGCAGAGTCAGTCTCCATTAGTGTCAGATGCACCTAGCTAAGCAGGATGGGATTCTAATGGTTGTGAATGCCAGTGGCCGGTAGTATCAGAGAGCATTAAACTTGCACAGGCAGGTCAGAGTCAGGGAACTGTGAACAGTGCTCATTTCGGACTAACAGAATCTGAACAGTGGTGGGACTTGATTATGCTGATGCAGGTTTCTTAAACTGGAGAACACAGACAGGTGATTGGGCTCACTTCACTGAGTCCAGTTTGAATGCAGCGAGAAAGCAAGCAAAGCGTCTGATGAGATTGAGTTGGAGGGCCAATGGCTGACTCTGTGTTCAGTCCTAATTGAAAAAAGAGTGAGCTCCATCTCCTCATTACAGCCTAGTCAAGCTGAACAGACGCACATCAGCTGTGAGGAGGCGGGACGGGATGTTCCTGTCGTCATGTTAACAACATTTGACAACAACCATGTGACAGGAAACCCACCCAGGCAGGACAGCAAGCCTTTCAATCTCAAAGTGTGCATGAGGCATATTATCTGATACTTTGACAACACAGTAATATGTATTTCAAGGAAGTCACTGTGTTTGTTGTGATGCTGTGAGTGTAAGGTTCTAGTTACTTTAGAGAGCAATGTTAGCTTTAATGATACTGATTTATGTAAATCAGTCTTTTAAAAATAAACGTACTGACATATTTCGCCTTGTATAGCATCAGACATAAAAATCACAATCAAGAAACAGATAAATGCAATACAGTCAGATAAAAAACTTAAAAAATATTTAAGAAAAATGCACAAAATACGTAAGCACATTCATTCATGCATTTTATGTCACTAAATCTACTATGAGATTATACTTACATCTGTGAATGAACCATACATAATTTACACGTGTCTGAGTTTTCGTTTTTTTATTACATTATTTTATTATGTTAATGGGAGAGTTTCTAGTAGTCTGGAACTCACTCTTAAGAAGCTTATTGAGAAGTCACAAGGCGACCAACATTTTCTTTTCTAAAAATGAATGTTTATTGGGTATGTAAATGTAGAAAATAGATATAATATAAAACAAAATAAAACTCACTCATTTTGATCAATGTGTTAAATATAATATGATATAAAACAATAATATATAATTTACAGAGAAAGTCCCTGTAGTACTCTTCACATGATACAGCTTTGCATATCCTAGATTGAAGAACTGTTCAGCAGAGGTGAAGATTTACATTTTAACCAACCGCTGTCAGGTATTCTGACCTATTCAATTATAGCTTTGAACATTGACTTATTTGACTTTCTGGCACCAAATATCTGGAGGTTATGTTGCTCACATCCTGTTCCAAACCCCTTCTCACACATGTACAGACAGTACATTCAACAAACATATTGATTGATGTTCGCTATTCTGTGATGCAAGAATGGAAATCTACCTGTAATTGGAATATTGATTGCCTGTCTTGCGTAGTTGGTGGACAAACACATCAGTGTGATCAGTAAACACTCTCCATAGCACCCGTTCACAGGGAGGCCGATACAACGGACTAATGCAAATGAATGGTAAGCAAGCCGTGAAACAGGTTAGAGTGAAAGAGTAACTTCAGATCAGCATCAGCAGGTTATTGCAGTGCAGTAAACCCCAACATATTCAATTATTGTTAATGCTTTGTGTAATCTCTATTTATAATGTACTACCATAAGTACGGATTGAGCTGATGTATATATCACGAAAAGAAACAAAACCGAGGGGCTAAATATCAATCAGTTTTCTCTGTCCTACTTTTTGTATATTTGCAGATTCCTCTTTTTCTGACTTCCTATAAGGTCATAAATCTTACATGATGTCATAAACCATTTGTTAGAATAATGCATTTTGCATTGTCCAGCAGGTTTGCAGAGGAACATTGCCTCTCTTGTGTCATTTCACAACACTGCACATGGCCCTACATCAGCATATACTATTTATATATATGCACTGCATTGTGCACATACAGCCACTCTACGCACGTTTTCTGTAGCCTAGAGGCCTATGGTATACTATTTTGTACTCAGTGTGAGTGACAGCAGCTACAACATTCACTACATAATGCCAACTCCAGTGATGTGAGAAAAAACTATTTTTTAAAAATGAAACAAAGCATCATAGATTTCCAGCAGGACTGAGTCCAGATTTCAAATGCCAGCATTAATGCTACAAACATGTACCTTGGATATACATATTGTGCATCTGTACTCTGGATGTTGGAGTCTCTACTGCTGGCCCACTGTTAAAGCCCCTCCACTCCCCATCCCTCTTAGATTCAGGCTCCAGCAATTTAATAGGCTTGGACCTGACACCCCCAGTTTCTGAAAGGCAGTTTATGACCTCCATGTAATCAGCAGTAAATGCTGCCACCATCTGTCTCTTTTTACTCAATTATCTGACCCAGTGACTTTTACTGACAAACACTGTCCAGGTAAAAACAGTAACGCATTCCCCGAGCATAGATTATGACACGTCTATACATCATCCCAAACTCTTCTTTTACGATTTCTGTTTGGTCAGTTCTCATTGTAGCAGGGCTTCAGACGCAGCCGCTGTTCTTCAGTAATGAGCAGAACATGTTAGCATGAATCATCAGAGATCCTGTACAATTACAGCTGTGTGGGCGTTATAACCTGAATCCTCATTACTGATTCATTGTGAAAGGGTAACATACTGTATGCACCACAGTACACACAGCATGACTCGCACTGTGAGGCAGTTGCTTGGATTACTTAATGAAAACAGCCTCTTAACTGGGTTTATGGCGTTTCATCACAGTATGTTAAAATCAATTCATTAAGAAGTGTTGATTAAAGGGAATACCTCTCACTGCACCTCTGCTGCTGCGTTCATTTTAAAATGTAATATGTTTTTTATTGGCTGCGACCTTTTTTTAATACTTAGCACTGTAACAACACTGTTGTAAATAATACAGTGCAATTTATACTCCTTACAACTGCTATAACGTGCAGCTAATTACACCTTGGATGTGTACTTATTTAATTTTTATATTATTAACGTGTGCTTGCCTCTTATTAAATGCCAGTTTCCTCTTATTTTGTCTTTTATCTGCATTTTCCCTTTGCTGTAACAATGTTACTACCCCTCTGTGGGACAAATAAAGGATTTCTGATTCTGATTATCTTTCACTCCACTCTTGCAACCCCTAGTGGACAAGCTGTAGATGGAAGTCTGACATGCTGATTTAAACAAAGCTTCGCAAAAAAAGAGCGAGCAATGTGTATCTATAGTTTTTAGTCATTTTTGGTGGTATGGCTGATTACCACAAACGCTTGTAGATAAACAGCACAAAAAAAATGATATATATACTGTATAGCAGAAGATGAATATTGCAGTATTTAGTCCTTGATGATGAAAAAATAATTAAGAACCTTTACTTAATGTTACGAAATTAAAATACTGCTATGTATAAGTAAAAGTGTTGCTTAAACTTCCTAAAAACACACTGAATCTGTCTGAATATGGGTAGTCAAATGTGAGTGAAACAAGTAAAACTGTAATCACCTTAGTGAAGTGATTGTTGCCACAAATCCTTATAGACCCACGTGTCTTATAGTCCTCCTCGCTCACTCAGAGTATGGGGCCATCTGTCGGCAAAAAGAGAGTGCAGGGTTTCTTTCTCTATGTGGGAGCTTAACTACAAGACAGCAGCAAGTGTCAAAGACATCATTGACTTCTTATTGTTAAATGAAGGTCTTGTGACATCAACTCAGGCACCTTACTCCCACTCCTTTTATCCATCACATGTATTTAAATGCCATTCCTTAAAGCTCTCTCTCTCTCTCTCTCTCTCTCTCTCTCTTCTTATATCTTTTGTACCTGCTTTTGTCTCTGCCATGTTGAATGCTTATAATGAGACATGATGTCAGAGTGTAAGATAGGGACAGTGACACTTACAGCTGCTTGCTCACTCTAACAGGGATATCATGATGCTTACAGTCACAGGATCTCTGCCAGACCTTGTAGACATCACCTTATTACACACTGCATGGTCATATTGCACATACAGTACAGAGTCATTACCACCAAGCAGCACCTGGGCCTTTTATTTTCTATTTCTCCACAAGATAGAGGGGGCTGAAGTAAAACAAAGGAAACAAATATATAAGAGCATCAAAGCTAAATTGTATTTTATACAAGGACAAAATACAGTAAGGACACAATAATGCACTAAA